TGTAACTAGTAGTATTATCTTTTTTCTTATTATCTTTATCTAGGGTATCTTAACTATAGTACTAGGTAGCTTTATAAGGTAGTAGTAGTAGTAGTAGCTAGTAGACTTAGTGTTAAAGGGACTAGATTTCCTTTTCTTATTCTTTAAGTTATTAGTAGATATAAGATTTACCTCTAGGTAGGTTACCTCCTCTAAAACTAAGGTATAGTTAATATAGCTTAAGAGAGCGTAATTAGTATAGCTAGTACAGTTAGGTATATATTAGTAATAGTGTTAGCAGTAGTAGCTTTAAGTATTTTACTACTAGCTAGGGGTTTTATATATCCTTTGCTTATTTATTTTCCTATTAGACTATATCCTCCTAGTTCTAGATTAGTATTATCCTTTAGGTAAAGGCCTTAACAGTAGCATAAAATTTTATAGCTAAGAGGAGGGTTAATACTACTAGTAATATAGACTATTTACTTATAGGTAAAGAGGGTAGTAATAAGATAGTTATTATTAATAGTAGTAATAGTAAAGTTAATAATAAAGGTAGTAAAGGCTTTAAAGGTAAAGGTAATAGGGGCTAGTAGTCTAGTAGGTAACAAAAAAAGGTATTTTATAATATAAAGTCTTAATAGTAAAGTTAGTAGTAATATTATTAGCTATAGTTATTAGCGTATATATAGTAAAAAAGTATAGATCTTAAGGGAAATCTAGTACTACACTTATAGTAAGGCTCTAGCTAGTAACTTTATTATTATTATTTAAGGGCTTTAATTAATAGTAGCTCTAGTAGTAGTGACCTTAATGTATAAAGAGGTAAAATAACTAATATAAAGGAGTATAAAGAAAAGTAAAAAAAGTAAGGTTATTAAAGTAAAGGTTAGTAATAGTAGTAGTAGTAGCTAAAGGTGTAGTAGATCTAGCTAGATAGGTTAGTCTAGCGTAGGCTAGTAGTAGTAAGAAAATCTACTAGTAAGTATATATTAGTAGCTAGGCTAGTAAAGTAAATACCTTTATTTAATTAGTTACCTTTAAGATAACTAATTAAATAGCTTTTAATAGTAATTTAGTATATTTACCTTTTATTAATATTAATAGTAGTAGAGGGTTAATTACCTATAGTATTATAACTAGTAGTTATACTACTACTTAATATAGTTAAATAGGTAATAAATTTAATAACTAACTAAGAGCTAGAGCTATAGCTAGCAACAGCTAGTCTTATAGACTAGCAACAGGTAGGGCCTAGTAGGGCACTAGCTGTCAGTAGGATATTAGCCTAACTAATAGATCTACTAGTAAGGCTAAGAAAGTAAATCCAAAGGTTAGCTATATTATCCTATAATAATATTAAATTCTTAGCTAATAAGTATCTCTACTAGTAGTGTTTTTACTACCTAGCCTTAGATATAAAGTATAGCTATATAGGTTTTACTGTTTATTTTTTTTTATATTTAGTTAAAACTTTACTTAACCTAAAGTTAGTAAGTTACTAATTCTTTATAATTATCTTTTAACTATTAGATTAAATATATATATAGGTATTTTTCTAAGAATTTATTATAAAATAATATATTATAATAATCTACTATCTATATAGATTTATATTTACTAGCTATCTCTAATATTTACTTATATTTACTTATATAAATAATTATAAGCTACTTAATATATATTATTATCTATTTAAGTAGTCCTAAGAGCCTCTTTAATAAGGTTAAAGGTAGTATTAAACTACTATACACTAAAATAAAGAGGTTACTAGGACTTTTAATTTAGAGAAGAGAGGCTAGGCCCTAGAGAAAGTTATATAAGAGTAGTCTACTAGGTCTTTTATATTTCTATAAAAAAGTAGTATATAAAGTAAAGTATTAGCTTTATACTAAAGTAATATAGTTTATAGTATAAAAGAGGTTATATATTATATAGGATATTAGCTAAAACCTTAGTAATAAAGTTATATTACCTCTAAAGGTCTTTAACTTTATAAGCTTAGCTAATACTAAGATAGCTAGCCTCTAAGAAAAAAAATAATAAGAAGTTACTAGATAATAGTAGTAGTTCTTACTGATTAGTTACTTATAGGTCTTAAAAAATATACCTTATACTAGGAGGGTAAATAAGTTAAGTTTTATATATTAGGATACCTTCTAAAGCTATAGTAAGTAAATAGTATAAATAAAACTAAGTTTAAATTAATTAAGTAGTAAAGAGAACAAAAAAGAGAAGTTACTTTATATAGGTCTAGTAGAATCTACTTATACTAATAATGATTTTTTAGACTAATAAGAGGTATATATAAGGGTACCTATATAAGAGGTATACCTATATAAGAGGTATACCTATATATTAATTCTAGGGTGTGTATATATTAACTCTCTTTTATAATTACCTTATTAATTTATACTTTTGTTTTTAGGTCTTTATAGATTAGGTCTAAGAATTATAAGACCTATTTAGTAATATATATATTATTATAATTAGATATTATTATAGGTGTAGGTACTTTTCTTATATATTCTTATTCTTCTTTTTCTTTATTATATAGCCTAGATGCTTTACCTTTAGGTAGTAGATATAGAGGGACTTTCTTGTATATAGACTAATAAGTAGTCTTTTTTCCTCTTATTATCTAGTACTACTTTTATAAAGTAAATAATAGGAAGAATCTAGGCTCTTAGTATAAGGTAATCTCTTTTAGATTTATAACTTTACCTCTTTACTTTTACTAATTTATAATTACTATATAACTACTAATTAGTATTAAATAGACTTTTATATATATATATATATACTTATTAAATATAGAGATAAATTAACTTTTTATTAAGTAACTAAATAGGTCTACTTTACTATTATTATATAAGTAGCTATATACTACCTAAGTATAACTTAAGTTATTCTAGCTAACTATAAAGTATAATCTCCTCTGAATATAACTAAGGGCTAAGTATCTAGTCTATATCTTTTAAGCTTAAATTATAAACTATTTATAGTTAACTAACTAGGTGTTATATAATTATTAGTATTAATATTTTAATATTTAAGATATATAAAGAATAACTTCTCTTATTATAATAGTAAGATAATAAATAACCTACTACACTAGGACTTTAACCTAATTAAGAATACAAGGTCTAGGAAATACTAAAATTAAGGCCTAGGGGTAAAAATAATAAGTCTTAGTAAAATAGACTAGCTATACTAAACTAACTTAGGAACTACTAGATAATTTAAAAGATACAGTAGTATAGGCTACCTTTCAGTGTAAAGAAGCCCCTACTTTATAAAGGAGGGAGAGAAAAGGTGTATTATAATAGGCTAGGCCTATATAAGGCCTTGTTAAACCTCTTAGCTTACTATAACCTTAACTAGGGTACTAGAGCCTATAGCGCTAAGCACCTATTAGCCTATACAGTATAGACCTAATTAGACTACTAGTTAGCTTAGATTAGTAGATTTCCCTTTTTTTCTCCTTATCTTAGGATACTTATATATAGTTACTATAGCTTGTTATAAATATACCTTGTCTTAGACTATTATAGGTAAGGCTATTTACTATATCTATAGTAATAGAATATTTCTAAATTCTTTAAATTCTGTATAGGCTTAATTATCTTTTATTTTCTTTTTATTTTAAAACCCTTATTTAAGATAAGGAGTAATACTATAGTTTAGAGGCTAGGCCTATTTCTAGTATTAATTATATAATTAATTTCTACCTCTATATAAATACCTTATAGCATTTCTATAGCTTTTTAAATGTCTTTATAGACCTGATTAGACTTAGAACTACCTGTTCTACTTTTTTTATACTAAACTATACGAGATATAATAAGTATAACCCCCCTTCCCCCTTTGAACCAGTGGCCAAGTCCTCAAATCTTACTGATTCCTTCTTTCTAGGCCTAATTATTCCTATTTAGATAGAACCATTACAGATTTAACCTTGGTGCAAGCCTATGTTAGTCACTCCTTGTCAGACGACCTAGAGTGCACTGACTCAGTAGTGGTGTTATAGTCAAGTGGTTGTGTAGTTACATACCAACCTACCTACTGTTTCTATTTCTACGCTCTGGCTAAGTGTCAGTACGCTGTGGTTTATGTCTTTGGATCCCTTGATCTTTGCCTTTTGTTGATGTTAACTTGGAAACACCGGTAACTGGTTGACTATTGGAAGATCGTAGGAAGGGCTAGCTGTAGCAGTAGAGGAGTAGATCAATCCGAACGTTAGTCACAAGTCCACAATCAAACCCTGAGGGACCATTGTTAACTTCATCACTTTCCCACCTAGATATCTCGCGCAATATAATCACATTGTAGTATATTGAGTACGAAAAGCTCTAGGGCTATATAAGAACTCCTGTGTCAAAGTAGTTATAAGACCCATAATAGAAAGCACTTCCAGTCCAGCACTCACAAAGATTTGAATCCGTAGGAGATGAATATACAAATACGCTAAAACTAGGGTAGTTTGTTACGCAGTACTCAGCGCATGACCCATAGTCACTGTTCCAGGGTAAAACCTGTACTAATCGGCTATTTGATCCATGATACAGATTTTGGCAGTATCTGTGAACTTGGCGTCCGTTTGACAGAATATAGGGGTCTGTTTGCTGTAAACAGGGAGCACGTCTCACTGGTTGAGCTGAAGGGGTTGGACTAGATGTTGAGGATGTATATATAGATGTTTGGGATGTAGTTGTCAGGGATGCAGATGTTGACGTTAAGGATGAAGACGTAGATGGTAAGGATGAAGACGTAGAGGGTAAGGATAAAGACGTAGATAGTAAGGATGAAGACGTAGATGTTAAGGATATAGATGTTAATGTGAAAGGTGAAGATATTGTTAGACTAGTAGAGCTACTACTGCTGAGAGATTGAGAAGAGATTATAGTAGGGTCAAGCGACGTGCTTGTAGAAGGACTAGAACCAGAGCTGACAAAAGAGGCAGATGAGGTACTTGTGGAAGTGACAGATGCTATAGCAGAACTAGAGCTAACAAAAGAGGCAGATAAGGTACTTGTAGAAGTAACAGATGCTGTAGTAGAACTAGAGCTAACAAAAGAGGCAGATGAGGTACTTGTGGAAGTGACAGATGCCGTAGAAGAACCGAATGCTAAAGAACCAGATGTCGTAGAAGAAGGGGATAAGGTAGTAGTGGAGGAACCGGACGTCAGAGCAGAGCCAGTAAACGTTACAGACGATGTGGACAAGGATGGGGGCAGAAGGAATGATCCCGTAGGAAGCAAAGCGCCGACGATCTGGCCGTTAACACACTCATCGGCTGTTAGGATTAAGCATGTCAGCTATGTATCTTAGGAGTCACCCAGGACCATGCGTCTCCGAAAGTAATAGGTCTAAAACTTACTTCTGTAGGCGTACAGAAGGACAGGCTGGCAGCCAGCAGGCCCTGTAGAGTTGAATGTGAGGTAGACCTGGCCGGTCGAAACCTGGCAGAAGTTTGCTTGGCCGTTTGGGAGGCTCGGGTTGGTGAAGCGGAGGACGCCGTTGTTATCGTCAAAGGTGTCGGTTATAGTGTTAGCGGGTGGGACGCCGGTATTACGTAATTCCTTATAAGCCTCACTAGGGCTGTAGAAAATGGGGTTGCCGGCGTCAAGGAGCTTGCCTAGGGAGATAGTGAAGATGGTGGCAAAGCTGCAACTGCCGCGATTGCTAGTAATTTTGTTGTTAAGGAAGCCACCATAGTCCCTCTTCTGGAGACCTCGCTTGGTGATGACAGGCATAGGGTTAATAAAAAAGATAACAGAACTGGAAGTGGCGCTGGCTGAGGCAGATGAGCGAGACGTTATGGTAGTGGTGACGGTGGTTCCAAAGCCTGTAACGGTAGATCCGGAGCCTGTAACCGTGGTTCTAGAGTCTATAACAGTGGTTCTAGAGCCAGTGAGGGTGGTCCCAGAGCCAGTGACGGTAACAGTAGTTCCCCCAATGACGGTCACGGTATCAGGTACCGTTGAGTTTATGGCCGGGATGGTGACAGTAGTTCCGCCGATGACAGTCACAATGGCACCAGGGGGGACGTCGCTAGTCGGGAGAGGAACCAGCTGAAGGAAAGTCGACAGGTAGGTAAAGCAATACGCCTCAGGCAAGGCCCTGATAAGCTCTGTAGAGTCAAGGGCAGCTGTGCCGAATCGGGCAATGAGGCTGAGGACGAAAAGTATATGTCTTTTGCCCATTGTTTCGGAAATAGTACGGACGTAGTAAGCTGGGGAAACGGATGAAATCTAAAGATGCAAGGGATTGGGTGAGAAAATGGGCGAATGGATGCTGAGCGAGTGTAGATGATTACACCTTCTTGTCTGATTAGGAATCGAAAAGATGATACTTGGATAAGCTAAGTACAAAAGCTTACGCAGCAACAAAAAGATTCTGTTGACAAGCTCGACATTATATCATATATAGCACATGCAGGATTGGTCTTGCAGACATGCAATCCGAGACAAACCGAGACATTAGGGAGAGAAACAGCCAGTCAAATCCGGTCCGAGATGGCATTCCTCTCTGGGTCGCAAGACTCAATAGGGAAGTTCTTGACTATAGTTTAGGAACGCTCTACCACCCTAAAATGGAGTGTGGAATGTTAACACAGAGACCTGTAATTTCGGTCTGAGGTGAGATATAAAGCCAAGCGATAAAGATCCGAAACCGCTTTCTGGAACTCGGGCCGAAAAACCTGGACAGTCGGCTGCGTTCGATTCATGGGGGCTGGCATTCCTGGTACCCAAGACACAAGGCTTAGGCAATCAGCCACATTCGATCGATCTATTAATTCATTACTCCGACTCGGGCCGCTAGACTGAGGGGCAAGTTCTCGGCTAATTATAGCTTGGCAATTCTCTCCCTCGGAGCTCCCGCGAATGGACTCTGGAATTTAAACACAGAGACCTGGACTTGTGTAAAAGACTGAGGTGAAATTTTAAGTGAAACAGAATAGAGTCTTTTGGTTAAGCCGCGGATCGTGGGCCTGAACCGACAGTCGTATCTAAGCAAAGAGTGCCCAAGAACACTCCCTATTTACATACCAGGACTTGCGTCTCGGCCAGTCACAGGGGCTTACTTCATTCCGCCTTATGGCTTGTTATGATCGTGTTTATTGTTGCTGTCATTTCACTCTTGGTTTTTCATATTCTTTGATGGAATTACCAGGAGCTGTGGTTATTGATCTTCGCAGCTATTGCAACTCTCCCCCATCTTGTTTTTGTATTTTCACACCATAATTCCGGTGCCTCCCAGTAGTTTATCTTCTCTTCGAGTTAGCAGGCTGTTGTGAATGTTTGTGTTCTTGATGTAATCATGTTACTTAATACCGGCCCATTACTGTGAAGGACAAGGCAAAACGCGTCTAGGGTAACTAACGTTAATATTTTAAGTCATCGTGTGCTTATTTAGCATTGTCCACTTGTCTAAACACGCTTGCTTCTGAATATTCTATTACGTATAACTCTAGTTTGTTGCTACATAATAATCTTCTATTATCTTTCTTGAAGCCTCCTGTCTTTCTCGGGCTGTTTTGGCCTACCACTCTTTTCATTTATCTCTATTACCACACAGTTTCTGGCGGCGACAACTACCTCACAATGTATTAAGCTATGTCTCTCCTGGGGGCTATCGTCGCTTTAAGTTCCGCCGCCGCAGCTCAGCAGGTTATCTTCGCCATACGTACTACTACTGTCACCTAGTGTGTCACCGCTACTGGCGGCGTAGTCCCTACCTGTGCCGGCTGCTTACTGGCTCCAATTGTTCAGCCGCCTACTGTTACTGGCGGACCTATCTGCGTCCAGATTGAGGCACCTGAGTGCTAGCGCTGTGGCTGTAACATATGTACCTATATTGTCAAGTTTACTACTGAGTACGAGGCCTTCTGCTCTACTGGTATTATCCAACAGACGTATACGTGCACTGAAACATATAAGGGCATGCTTGCTATACCTACAATTCTCTCTGCTAAGTTTCCCCTTGGCTTCACTAGGGACGTTCAGACCTGCTACACCTGCGGCCAAACACCTATAATTGCAACAGTAACCCACCCTATTACTAAGCCCCAGGCCACGCCTATTATAATTCCTGCTGGTGGTGCTGGCTTTGGCCCTAGCCCCGGTTTTGACTCCGGTTTTGGCTCCGGTTCTGGCTCTGGTTCTGGCTCTGGTCCTGGACCTAGCTTAAAAGGCGGATTAAAAGCCCCTGACAGCACATGTAAGCACACCTATAAGCGTATAATTAACTTAAGACTTAAGAAAGCTAATAATAACGTTTATGTAGCTCTAAGGACTGTGACGACTGCTGACTCTTACTCTATTGTGCCCCTAGCTTTTGTACAAGTTATAATCTTCTTTGTGATTTTTGTTCTGATATTGTTTATTCTTTAAGAGGGGCGTTGTCACAAAAAATAGACACGGGATAATAGGATTTCATAATAGCATTAAAGTCTAGATAAGTAGGCTAGTTACTAGAAAGGGCAGCAGCGTAAACACATAGTCTAGGGAAAACGTTAACAATTAAGTTAAAGCACCTACTTTCTAATTACCCCTATATTACAATTATGTATATCTACCTTATATCTACCCCTAGCTACCACTAACCACTATATATATACTATTACCACTTTTATAGTTCTTATCTAAATAACTTTATTTTTTTAGTATTTATTCTTTATTACCTTATAGTTAAATATACTAAGTTAAAGATTACCTAGGCAACAGATACTATTACTACTAGTAATAGTATATATTAAGTATCTAAGACCTATAGTATCCTATTTACTACTCTCTAGAACTATCTATCTAGTACCTAAAAGAAGGCTAATGCCTTTAAGGACCTCTAGTAACTACTAGCTACCTAGGAGGCTAGCCTAGCTAGTTAAGTAACTACTTAGGCTAACCTTAGGCTACTACTAACCTATTAATAACTAAGGGATTTTACTTATTATATCCTCTATACTATAGGAGATACTTAACCTCTAGGTAAAAGGTAAGTAGATAGCTTTATTTAAAAGAACTTATTTATTAAGGTCTAGAAAAGTTAATTTATTAATTTAAGGTGTATTAATAGGGTATTTACTAAGGTTATTAGGGACTAGTTTAAATATTTTACTATACCTTATATCTAGGCTATTAAACTAGCTAATAAATATAATATAAATAAAACTAGTATCCTTAAGAGCAAAGGTAATAATAGGCTAGTGCTAAGTAAGGCTATAATAAAGGTAATAAAGAAAAAGTAGCCTAGATTATAAGCCTAGGTATTTATTATTAAGTATATATTTACTAAAGGTATTTTTATTTATCCTTTAGTTATATATAAAGGTAAAATAATTTAGTAGTAGTAGTTTTTTTTTAATTTTACCTTATATAATAAATAAAAGTTTATAGTAATAGAGAATAAATAAACTACTAATAATACTACTATTAAATAGTTATAAAAAGTCTTTTTCTTTTAGACTAAGCCTTTTTAACTTAATTAGGCTAAACTACTTATCTTAGATAAGTATAAAAGCTATATAATAATAGATTTTATATAAATATACTATACTAATAATATTTATTTATTATTTTTACTACTATATACTTTTTATATCTTTTAGCTACTTAACTAGTTAGTCTTTAGCCTTATTAAGGTAGTATATTAGAAAAAGCTTAAATATTTTAGTTAGTAGATTAACTTTACTATTATAAGTAAAAAGAACTTTTTTTTTTACTATTAAAAAGCTTACTTAGCTAGTCTAACTATTAGTAATATTAAAAGTAGCTAAAAATACACTAGGTTATAGCCTATTAGTACTATAAAGCTACTTATAAATAGGCTACTAGTTTAAAAGGTAATATTATTATTAATAATACTATTAATACTACTTAAAGTAGCTACTAGAGATACCTATATAGCCTAGGATGCCTATAATATAAAGAGATAAGTATTAGCCTTATCTATAGTAAAGTAGTCTATACTAAGGAAAATAAAGGACCTTAGGGACTAACTATAGCTCTTTAGTTAACTAAAATAAAATATTACTATATAACGCTAACTATTTAAAAAGGTTAAAAAAGGCTTCTAAGAAAAGTCTTATAAGCTAGCTATTACTTAGTAAAAAATTAGCCTTTTAGAAGCCTAGGTTACTAATAGTATATCTAAGAAATAGAAGGCTATTTATATAAATACTAATATAAAGTTTATAATAATTAAAGAGGTATAGTAAGCCTAGATAAAGGTAAATAAAGTTAAAAGTAATATAGATAAATCTAGTGTATCTAAATTACCTAGTAAGGCTAAAAGTTATATTATTGTAGTATCTAGATAATGTTAGTAGTTAATTAAATAAGGTAGTAGTTATTATAATAGTGATGTTTTTAGGTGATTGTAATGTGGGGGTGATCAGAAAGTGGGTGCTTTGACTTAAAAAGAATCTGGTAAACTATAACAGTAGTAAATTTTACCTAGAACAAAGTGACACTACCACGTAAAATCAACTTCCCTTTTGCCTAATTTTTCTTGGCATCTTTTCTTAGTGAAACAAGTGGTCCCTCACTCTAATTCTTAACAGCTGGAAACCTTTTACTTCCTGTCCCTGGAGACCTTCCGCGATGGCTTTACAGCCGCCGCCAGACACTAGACCACTGCCAGCACCGCGCGCTAGCCCTGACCACAGCGATATATTGGGTTAAGAGCTAATTAGGTTTACTACTAAAAAAAAAAGATAATAAAAATACTTTACTAGTGATAAAGTAGACCCGGCGAACCGGACCGCTTGGGTAGGGTTAGGCCTAGGTACAGGGGGGGGGAGGGGGGAGGAGACAACAGGCTGCAGCCTAGCTAGGGGAGAGAGCAGTAGTAATTAGGTAGGTACCTATACTTGCTTAGTTGAGCCGTCGCGATGGATGGCTTCGTTTGCTTACTTCAGCTGGCTGTTGAGTTGTTTTGACTGAATTGACGGCAGCGCTGCTGGCAGAAGTGCCGCTTATATTGTATCTTGTTACCACTTGCCAAAGACTCTTGAAGGAAACTAGTTTAAGTTACGATTACCAACATATCCAACGGCAATAGAAAAGCATTTTTGTTCGGTGAGTAACATCAAGATCTACCTCTAAGCATGTAATTATTAAGACTTCCCATATCAAGACACCACCCACGTCTAAACTCGCATCAATCCAATCACAACACAGCCACGCAGGCATAGGTGTTGGCCCACAGACCAGTACAGGAGGAGCCAACGGCTGGGTTCCAAGAAACAAACTGGGCGGCAGTGATACCGTATTGCTGAGCAATGGTCGCGCAGGTGTTACCCGAAACCACGAAGTGGAACGTCTTGCAGTTTTTGGTCATTCCGTCCTGGATCGGAGCGGGCGTCGCCACACCGTTCCCCGGGTTGGTCGGCGAAGGGGTATGGCCGACAATGGAGATGCAGACATATACATCTAGCCAGAGCCCGCTGCACGAGCCACCTACGCTGGGGTTCCACTCTACGAACTGCGATAGCGAGATGCCAGACTTGCTCGCAATGGCGGCACACGTGTCGCCCGAGATAACTCGGTAGAAGGCGTCACAGTTGCCGACCATGTTTGGCTGCGTGGGCGTGGGCGTGGCAATGCCGTTGCCTGTGGTGGTGGTGGCGGTTGGCCGGCTTGTGGCCGTGGCGCCGCCGATGATGCCCACGCAGGCGTACGCGTTGGCCCAGAGCCCCGCACAGCTGCTGCCGGCGGACGGATTCCACTCCAGGAACTGGGCCAGCGTGATGCTGTTGGCGCTGGCCACGCTGGAGCACGACTCGCCCGACTGCACAAAATAAAACTTGTTGCAATTCTTGACGATCTGCGCCTGCGTCGGCATCGGCGTGGACACGCCGTTGCCGATTGACGTCGTGGTGGTCGATGGTATGGTCGATGACGTGGTCTTGCTGGTCAACGTCGTGGTTGGCCCGGCCGTGCTGACCGGGGGCTCAAAGAAGGCCTCGACGCAGTACGAGTGGCCCGTCTGCAGGACGCATGTGTCCGTGATGGACGGGTTCTGGCCAGTCTTGTCAGCAGGAAACTTTCACGAGGGAAAACTTGAGTTGTCTCACCCATCTGCGGAAGGAGACCAAGTCGATGGCGTTCTCGCTTAGCAGGGTGCTGCAAGTCTTGGCCGAGGTCAAGTCAACCCACCAAGTGCAGTACGGGGTGGTGTTGGCATCATATGTCAACGAAGGGCTTGAGCCATCGCGGCGTTCATGAGCCACGCCGGCGAGCGCCACGTCGATGAAGCTGCCGGCGAGCAGGAGTGAGGGCAGCACGTAGGGCAGCATGGTGTTGTTAGTTCTGCCTGATGATGGCGTTGACACCGATGCTATTGTCTTGCGTCTTAGCGATAATGGACTACTGTGATGGGTGGACAATCTCGTCATCTGCCCGACGACACATGACGGTCCAGAGTGTAGGTATATATGGAACCTTTCATATCCCTATCCATTTCCTAGCGGGACGGACGATTAGGCAGACGACACACCTGGTATCCTGGTCGGTCAGCCTGCCCGATCTGAAAGCCTAAATTGGAAGACACTAATACCGCGGGCTTTTCTACGTAGTAACTTGCTCAAAAGGGCATTGCGGGGCATCATAAGCTTCCCCAGTTCTGATTCAGTTGTCGGCCTGGGAGTCCCTGCATCATTTAACAGCTGCAGGGCGTCAGCTAATCCAATATTGCTACCAGACGTAGCATCGTCTTATGCTTAGTTTTATTCTTGACTGGTGGATACCTCCCAACAATCCATGGCCACTCACATCTCCGGAGCAGCTGACATCGAAGGGTTGTCAAAGATCCAGGCGTGGACCCTTGTTGTCGACTTCCGACTGGTCCAAAAGGTCTAGGCATCGACAGACCCCAGTTGGTGGAAAAACTAGGCAGCAAATGGAGAAGTATAGGTACTGCCAAGCAAGCGATGTGCGGGTAGGGCGTCAGGCACAAATCGCTCGCCAAGCCGCTAGACCTCGAGTGGGCAACAAGCTCTTTAGCTGCCTTTAACCACATTGAGCAAAATGAGTGTGGTTAATGTCGTTTAGCCTGCGGCCAGGAAGCCATACACTTCTAGACCACGGCGCTTCCACGGAGGACACAGCCAACCTCGAAATGACAGTCGGAAGCGAGATTAGAAGACGTGAGTCCACACTGTGGTTTACTAGCGAGTACAGTGAGCCGCGAGGATGTAAAGGTCTCCGTTTCTTTCGCTTTCGCTTTCATGTTCGGCTTATTTCTTCGTGGTCATCACGGGAATGGCATCACCAGCTTGTACCATATGTTAGCCTGGGACGAGTAAGAATGAGGATCTAGAGGCAAAAAAATGGATCCGCAAGTGACATGCTGCAATTGTGGCTTAAATCACCTTGTAACATAATATAGACAGATCATGGTATTTGAGACTGATGGCGTGGTTTCCAATCGCACTGCTCTGGCTGTATATGTTCTTGTCTGGTATATACCCGAGTGTTGCTATCGGTTCAGGGTTCCGTACTCAATATGTGCGGGGGGGAAAGAGAATACGCTTTTGTCTGACCGAGTCCTTTTCTTATGCATGCAATCACCAATACAGACTTAGGAAGAGGAGAGGACAACATGTCCATATCCCAACCGCAGCTGACGTTGAAACGCCCACCCTCACACAAAGGCGTTAGCAGCCCCAACAATGACGCCAGTACTAGCAAGCATCCACATATCCCTTTTCCCAGCCAATCCAGCTGTGTTCGTTGCGCTGCTTGCCGTCCCGGTAACACCCGTGCCTGGGGCTGTAGTCGATCCGGACCCCGAAGACGACGAACCGGCCGTGACGGTGCTGCTGACGGGGGGCATGTCATCTAGTACGCAGCTGGCGTAGGCGATGGTCTGGTTCAGCCAGGCGTGGTTAAGCTCGCCGAAGTGGCCCCAGGCCGACGCGCACTCGACCGAGAGCGAGCTCACGCTCGCGCTGTTGCTGCGCCAGAAAGAGGCGGCGGCGCTCTCGTACGACGCAAAGGCCGTGATCAGGGCGGGAGTCGCCGACGCGTAGGTGGTGAAGCCGCACAGCTGCGACGATTCGGTGACCCGGCAGTTGAACAGGTCAGTGCCCGTGGCCGTCTCGAGACAAGGCTCGACCAGCTCGTCGACGTACATGTCTATGGCCTTGCTCAGCGTTCCCGAGGGCTTGGGCACGTCGAAGTACTGCGACAGATTCTGCGTCGCGCACTGCCACGGGTCGCGCTGCGTCAGCAAAGGCTCCGGCGTCGTCAGAGGCGGCGCAGACATTGAGGTCAACGAGGGCGCCGTCGTCGCTCCCGGGGCCACAACGGTGATGGTCGAGGCCGAGACGGCTGCCACGGAGGCGCCTAGGATGGCGAGGACAGCCACCTTCATCATTAGGTTGAGATTGGAGTCGGGTACGATAAAATGATTGCTGCAAAAAGCCGGTGATGGTATGGCCGAGCGATGGAGGACGTTGGTGAAAATGAAGAGCAAAGTATCAAGACAAAAGAGAAGGGGGGGTCCAACGAAGACGCGAGTGACGAATATTGACGACGTTGGAATGCCGCGCCGGTAGTCTCGCGTCTATGTCAACTGCAGCCATAGGTATACATGTAAAGGGAAAGGCCTGTTGGCGATCAGTCTGACAGCGAAGGAAATTAGCCAAGCAGAGTACAAGTGGATTCGGTTTGATTTGCGCTGTGCCGGCTCGGGGCGGAATCCCAAAGCAGTTCGCCAAGGCCGCGAATACCACCGACGCCTCCGGGAATAATGCACGGCGAGATTGATCATGGATGCGAAGGTTAACCTCTTTGTAGTAACTTGTTCTGCCTGGCCGTTTGTCAATCACCCGCACGACCCCTTGCCAGTGGGCCCCGGAAAGTAAACGAACACACCTAAACCGCTTTAACTCTAAGCGCCCGCCTCATCCCCTCCCTGCTCCATTGCAACCATGACCGCCTTCGTCTCCTCGAGGCACTCCTGCTTGCGATACTGTTGCAGATTAGGCCAGCCGTGACGCCTGTAAACTTCCTGTAGGGCCGGGATAGGATTCCTCCTCCTCCTAGTCTCCGAATCCAAAACCTGGTACTCGTTCCACGGCACCCAGCGCAGCGAGCGGTACTCGGCCTTCAGCACCTTGAAGAAGTCGACGACAGACCAGGCGGCGCCGTCGGCACGCCAGTCGGCCTCGTCATCGTCGTCACAGTAGTCGTACGGGTCGTCCTCGATGCAGCGGGGCCCGTCGCGGAGCCGACCAGGACACTCGGGCCAGTAGACGACCCCAAGCTCCGTGTCAATCAAAAAGACATGGTGCTCGCTCATCGTCAGCCCAACGACACTCTCAGGCACGTGCTCCATGATGGCAGGGCCCTCGGTGACGGTACGAAGCCCATCAATGTCGCTACGGCCCTCGCGCACCCAGATACCGGACATACGCCAGTCTGCCCAACCCCCACCCGGGGTAACTTGGGGTATCTCGTTGTCAGGTAGATCCTCGCGCACGTACGGTAAGTGCGAAAGCAGGCTCAGCACCTCGTCCGATTTGCCCAGGTCCTGTAGATCAGAGGCCAACGTCGGCCACCCCCCTGGCGGCGGGTGGACGACAGCTGACTCGGGAAGGTACATCTTGGTCAGGAAGGCATAGAAGTCGGTCACAGCGGTGACCGTGGCTTCCTGCGAGTACTCGACTTGGTCAAGCGTCGGCATCTCGTCCTCGTGTTGCGGTCCAGGATCCTAGCGGCGTGTCCGGTATCACCTCTGCTTTGTTGGGTTATGCAGAAGGAGTGATATCAAGGTGTATTTTCTGACCGGGAGTTGAGCCAACCGTGATTGAGAAGAATGAAAAGCGAGAGCGGAAAAGGCCAGAAGTGGACAAGGAATTTTGTGTGTGCTACCCGTCTTAGGTAAGCAGTCATATTGCGACCTTATCAGGGGCGATCCTGGTCCCCTTTTTATTTCCCGGTCAGGTCAGCATGAGCCTTCTACGCCAAGTCCTTAGCGTTCGGCCGACCCTCGAATGTTGCCTAGTTACGGGGTAGAACCTTTAATATCACTCATCACACTCCCATGGGCATAACAAAGAAGATGTGCACCGGAAGTCATATCCGGATTGAGACGTGTATCTGTACATGCGCGTTGTCCCTCCGAGGATGCTAATGTATAAGCTTCGGAAGGATTCAGCCTGACTCGAGTGCTGCATGTTTTTTAAATCAAGCTTTAGCGATGGCCAATGCCAACAACATACGGCGGCTTGGCAGTCTTACCCACGGCTTGATAACCAGGAACGGTCCGGTTCCGCCCTGCCTTATTGGGCAGCCCTTCCAATAGTTTACAGTATGACATGTCATATTTTACATAGTAGTGCCGCATGATTAACTGCATCGTGACTTGCGACATGGAACGGCGGACTGCGAAGACCGAAGAAGTACTGTAATACAGGTGCAGGGCACTTAGTTACGGCCAAAACAAGTATCTATGTGGAGACTCTAGACCGTCTTTAAAGTAAAAACCTGGTAAACATCTGAGGCTAAGCACTCGCTCGAGTCCATGAGCGCTAGGGCATATGTCTTGGCTTCACGTTCGGCCCCTATGGGCCTAGATCGAGACTCCATTCTGGCACATGGAGGTCCTCGACCCTGTAAGTGTAGACACCCTGAAAAGGGAAGCTTGATACCTAGGTAGAGGTGTAGGCAGAAGAGAAGACGGATCTGTTAACAACGGTCCTAGATGAGCTATAAAGCACCGTAGTGTTGCTGGGTCTGCTGGACATTGGTAAAGTTCATATCTTCAACCTCCGGTCTGTTTTCCTTTCTGGTGACATAGTGACTGCAGGTGGTGCCGCTCATTACATAATACCCACTCGGAATGAGGAGTTACACCACGGCTGTCCTCCTCCTGGGGTCAAGCCTTGTGCAATGTGCCGTCAATCTTGACGGCACCCAGGCCGTTGCCCCCGTGGGCGACGGCGACCCCTCGCCCATCGGCGACATCAAGACATACGAGCCGGACCAGCACGACTGCCCACTTCCTTGTGCCCACCTTGAAAACGTGCACACTTGGGTCACCTACTTCTCGGTCAACCGGCTCCGGCGATGCCAGCAGCCCATGCTGCTGCAGTTCTCGCCCACCCAGCCGCTGGACGACCCGTCCACCAACGTGCTCATCCGTGGCTGCACGTTCGGCGGCCCAGGCGGCGGGGAGCCTATCACGTCGCCGGGCACCATCAACTCCTCTTTTGCGACGACCGAGGCCGCAAGGATGGCCAATGAGACGGCCGCCGGCATGGAGAACCCCAAGAAGTCTGACACTCTGTTCCAGTCTTCTCTGGACCGGGCCCCGGCGTGCGTGGCTCCGGGCGAGAAGGTCATCAAGACTCTACCGGTTGCGACCACCAGCAGCGCCGACGGCGACGGGGCCAGCAACGTGGGCAATGCGACGCGTCTGCTCGAGGCCATGAGCACCTACTTCAACGCAACTGACAACTGTGACGAGACGTTCTTGTTCGGCTACTACAAGCAGACTATCGCGGGCATTTATATCGGCTCAGATCTAGGCAAGCTCACAGTCGGTCCGGCCATTGACGCTCTAGTCGGACGCCTGCAGGCTGACGGCCGCGTGCCCAACCGCTTGGTGACGCAGCTCTGCGAGACCGACAAGCCATCAGGCGTGTTTGGTGTCGTTGTGGACAACATGAACAACCTCGCCGCCGTCCAACAAACGGCTGCAGACTGGCACGCCGGCAAATGCGCCGCTGATGCCAAGCTTGTGCCGTCGGGCGACTTAAAGGCGGTGGCCATCTTCGACATTGTGGGGGCGGCTGGGCTCAACGACACTCTGGGGAACAACGAAACATTGCACAACAATACCACTCTGGCCACCCAGAGCAGAAGAAGGACAACTGCGCTTCTGGGCCATAGGAAGCTCTTACACTCCCGCGACGCCTGCTCCTACATCCAGGTGCAGTCCGGCGACACATGCACGACGCTCGCGTCTAAGTGCGGCATCAGGGGCTCCCAGTTCACGACGTACAACCCAACTATAGACTGCGGCAACCCATCAGCCCTGCAGCCCAACCAGTACGTCTGCTGCTCGGCCGGCGACCCGGGGGGATGGAAGCCTGTGCCGGGCGATGACGGAACATGCGCCACACACCTCATTGCCTCCGGCGACACGTGCAGCTCCCTGGCCCTCCAGTACGGCCTGACAGTGGACGAGATCGAAGATTTCAACAAGGGCAAGACGTGGGCGTGGACCGAGTGTAAGGACATGCTAATAGGCTACAACATGTGTCTGAGCTCCGGCAACGCGCCTCTGCCGCCGCCGCAGGAGGGCGCGCAGTGCGGCCCGCTGGTGCCGGGGACGACACAGCCGACGGACGGCACGTCCATTGCCGACCTGAACCCGTGTCCCCTCAAGGCTTGCTGCAGTAACTGGGGCTTCTGCGGGCCGTTCCCGGAGCACTGCGACATCCACGCCCCCGAAGGCGGCGGCCCCGGCAGCAAGCTGCCCGGCTTCCAGAGCACCTGTGTGTCCAACTGCGGCAACGAGATCAAGCAGAACTCGGGCCCGCCAGCAGACTTCGCCCGCGTCGGCTACTATGAGTCGTGGAACATGAACCGCGACTGCCTCTGGCTGCGGGCCGACAAGTCCAACACGGATGGAACCTACACCCATATGCACTGGGGGTTCGGCGAGATCGATCCGGAAACGTGGAAGCCCTTCATCAAGGACCCGCACGGGCAGTGGGATGCCTTCAAGAAGCTCGAGCTCAAACGCATCGTGTCGTTTGGAGGTTGGGCTTACTCGACCGAGCCGGCCACGTACAACATCATCCGCCGTGCCATTATCGACAACCGCGAGACTTTCGCCACTAACCTCGCCCAGTTCGTCAAAGACGAGGGGATCGACGGCATCGACATTGACTGGGAGTACCCGGGTGCCCCCGACATCATGGTCGACGGGCAGCCGATCGGGAAGGCCGGGGACGGTGTGGCATACTTGCGGTTCCTGACCTCGCTGAAGCAGAAGCTGGGCACCGACAAGTCGGTTTCTATTGCCGCTCCCGCGTCCTACTGGTATCTCAAGGCCTTCCCCATCGACCGCATCTCGGCAGTCATTGACTATATTGTGTACATGACGTACGACCTGCATGGCCAGTGGGACTACGGCAACGTCAACGCCTTCGATTCGTGCCCGTCTGGCAAATGCATCCGCAGCCACGTCAACCTGACCGAGACGCGCAACACGCTGTCCATCATCACCAAGGCGGGCGTCGCCAACAACAAGATCATGGTCGGCGAGGCCAGCTACGGCCGCTCGTTTCACATGGCTGTTGATGGCTGTTGGGGCCCTCTGTGCGACTTCACGGGGACGCGCACCGAGTCGGACGCGAACCTCGGTCGGTGTACCGCAACCAAGGGATATATCTCCTTCGCCGAGATCAACGAGATTATTACGCAGGGGTCGTACTCGCAGATGTTTCATGACGGCGACTCCAACACGGACGTCCTGCTGTACAAGGGCGACTACGTCAGCTACATGACGCCCACGACGAAGCTGACGCGTCGCGACGACTGGAAGGCCCTCAACTTTGCCGGGAGCATCGACTGGGCCGTCGACCTGCAGATGTTCGGCGACGACGACATGAAGGCCCCCCTGGACCGCGGCGGCGACACGGGCGACGAGGGCTGTGTGTCGGGCGAGGACAAAACGACGAACTCGGGCGACCTATGCGAGTTCACCTGCTCCATCGGCTTCTGCCCCGAGTCGCTGTGCAACTGCGTCACGAGGGGTGAGATGCTGCCAGTCCCGGCCGAGAACCCGGTCGAGGGAGACATCATCGCCTGGGACGAGACGGACGTCGACCTGAACCGGCTGTGCCGCTTCGCCTGCTCGCACGGCTACTGCCCGTCTGAGGTCTGCACGACGGCCGTGGTCGATGAGGACGAGGACGGCGGCGTCATCGAGGTCGGCTGGAGCCCCGAGAACCCAAGCTACTTCAACTACACCGAGGCGCGGCTCGCCAACGCCAACAGATGCCTCATCTACCAGAACGCCAAGCTGAGGGACGAGGCCCAATTCCAGTGCTACTCGTACTGCAAGTCGGCGCTAGACGAGGCCAAGGAAGAAGGCCGAACCTCCAACTACGGCTGCGTCGGCTTCTTCTCGACCAAGGATTACCCCGACGGCATCCCCTGGGACAAGTACCCGGGCACCTCGTTCTACGTGGCTCCCGGCACCTGCTCGTGCGACAACTACCTGGTCAACGAGATCGCCGACACGGTGCTCGAGGCCATGCCCATCATCGCCCAGATCAGCTGCTACATGCTCATGTCGTCGCTCAAGCTGGTGCTGGACGTCGGCGCAAGCCTGATTCCCGGCGTTGGCAAGATCCTGGACGCCGGACTCGACATGGCCACCACGGCGGCCCAGATGGCCACATACCTGTACCCCGACGAGCAAGACCCCGAGGGCGCCTTCTCCTGGTGGCTCAGCCCGTGCGGCGGGACCGAGTTGGTGCCGGACGAGATCAAGAAGATCTTTGGCATCCTCAGCTCGGTGGCGGACGGCGTGTCAAGCTTCAAGAAGCCTAAGACGCCCAAAGGCAGCGGCAAGAAGGGCGACGACGCGAACCCTATCGACAGGTCCAAGCCCAAGCAGGGCACGGGGAGCGGCGCCAACGGGCTGGGCAAGACACAGCCGGGCAGCGGTGGCATTCGCAAGAAGTGCAACGTGCCCAGGTCGCAGTCGACTCTGCGGGTGGGCGCGGCAAAGAACACCATGCGCCGGCAGTCGTGCGTGGCTAGCAAGACGCAGAAGGAGGAGATCATCGTCACGTCATTGACCTATGGCGCCCGCGCCACCCAGGTGAAGGCGACTTGCAGCGCCGCCTGGTCTCAGGCTTGCTACCACTACAGCAGCGTCATCCGTAACAACCAGGCCTGGGCAACCCTGACGTGCCCACAGGCGGCGGCCACCACCGCCCATCGTCAGGACGCCAGCGCCACGGCCACCTGGAGCAGCCAGCACCGCGGCTCCGGCTGGATCGACAAGAACAACCGCCAGTGGCCGCGCTGCGACCGCGACGAGTACCCGCCGGCCTACCTGCTGGACGACAACAACCCCGCCTTCGTCAACTCGGGGGTCGACCGTACCGGCCAGCTGGTGCGCTTCATCCCGAACACAGAGAATCAGAGGGCCGGCCAGATGTGGAAGGGCGCCTGCTTTGGAAACACCCTGAAGGAGCTGTCCGACGCAAACTTCGACGCCGCCGTCAGCCGCGCCCCAGCGAGCGCCAAGCACGTCAGCCGCCCCAACTCCCAGCTACTGCGCACGTACGTGGCTATCGGCGTCAACACGCACCCCGAATTCACCATCGCGTCGTACGGCCACTCCGGCAGCCCACCTGCCAACGACGGCCTCAACGACAACCAGTGCTGGCCCAGCGGCATTGCGGCAGCCGACCCGGGCTACGCCTTGCTGACGTACGACCCCTACTACGACACACAACCCATGCCGTACAGGTACGATCAGGCGTACGTGCAGGGCACTAACGGGTCGTGAGCGTGTGACACTGTCTCTCGTGTTTCTTTTCTCGGGTGGAAGTGTTTCATGGAATGGATACAACCTGAAAGCTTAGATGATCCCCTCGATACAAATCAGATAAATCCTTAGTAGCTTCAGTCTGCCATCTACTATGTAATGAGATACCAAGGACATATATTAAGCTTCCAGATACACCACCGCGCCTAGTTCTACCTCTAATTAAATCCCAGACCTCGCCTTTTCTTTCCTCTACTATTCATACCGACACTCGCTCTGATGGATTGTCTGTGTCTGGCGGTCAAAAGCAACGTAGATCCGTCGCCCGCGCTCTCATACGCGACCCCAAGATTCACTTCCTTGACGAGGCGACGTCGTCGCTAGATTCCGAGTCGGAGAACCTGGTCCAGGCCGCCTTCGAGCGCGCCAGCAACGATCACACCATGATATATATCGCCCACAGGCTGGCAACGGTCCAGAACGCCGACATTATGTTTGTTTTTGCCTAGGGCAAGGTGATAGAAAAGGGCACTTATTAGGAGTTACTAAAGGTACAAGGGACGTATCCTCTCTTTAAATATAAAATCTGCACAGGCCATACGCTAGTCCTATTATAGAATGCAGTAAACCTACCTATCTACCTACCGACTTGTAACTTCGCCAGCCTCTCTAACCCCCTGATAGCTATTAAGGTGTGCTACAGCGGTAAAGGGTGTCAGTCAAGTGACACCTCAACTCATAAGTTTACAAAAGGGACCTCGATGTTACTAGGCATATCCAACTCAATCATGACAATATAAAAAGAGATTTAAATGGTAGGGTTATGTCCAGGGGCAGGCGTGATAATTGATCTCGCAGCGTCCGAGATCTCGGCGGCGACCTCCAAAGCGTAGCTCAACGACGCGGGCACCTCGATGCTCGCCTCTGGAAAGCTACCGGTGATGGACGGAGTAGCGACAGCTTCCGCCGTCGCCGGCGACGTTGCCGTCTCCCGAATGACCGGGAGCGACGCGTATCCCAGCTCCTCCATCTCCCTCTGGCAATGCTAGTCCGTGCATCGCAGCAGGCCGAGGTCCTCGAAGAGCTCCTCCACAGTAGGCCGGCGCGTGGAGTTCCCCTCGCGGATGACAAGCTCGGCGGGGGATCTCTTGCCGTGGTCGAGCTCGTCCAGCGCGCGACGACCGGGGAAGCTCGGGTCGTCGTCCTCGTCGTCGGAAGGGTCTGGCATGTCGGTGTCGCTGTCGTCTGAGGGCGGGTTGTTGTTCTTGTTCGCCGGAGCCCTCGGCTTGGTGTAGCCCCAGCTGTACTGATTGACCTTGCCGTTGGTGAACTGCGGGCCGGGCTCGTCGTCGTAGAACTGGATGAAGGCACCCCTGTTGTTGCCCTGCCGGTACCACGAATCGTTCGTCAGGAGCGCGAAGCCTGGGTCGTCGACCAGCGTCTTGGGCCAACAGGGGTTCGTGGTGATGCCAAAGTCCGGCGGCATGTTGCCCATTCTCGTGAACTGGATGTCGTTGATGGTTTCCATAACCTGCAGGGTTTTCTGCCACACGTCGTAGGTTCGGCATCCGTCAACTTTAGTGGTAATGGACCTCTCGCCGACGAGGCGCTCTTGCTCGTGCTCCGGACAGCCGCCAAATAGCCAAGCCGCCCTGCTGTTGTCGGTTGCCGGGATGAGACGGATCCACACGCTGTTGTCGCGAGCCTGCCAAACGGACCCGCCGGGGTACTCGTCGCGTTCGCACTCAAGGTCCGCTTGCTGTAGCCAGCCACTACTCCAGGAAGTGTGGTGCTGATCGTTCCACACGCCGACGATGGGCCGCGGGGCCCTGAGCGCTTTGTTGGATGGGCAGGTGAGGGACTGCAAGTCACGTCGCCTGGCGATGACGGAGCTGTAGTTGTAGCAAGCCTGCTTGGCTCTCTCGCCATTGCACCTCCGCTCTATGATCTGTCGGCCGGCCGCGATGTACTCGGGGGTCCCGTATGACTTGAGGTTGCGGAAGGCCCTGGCTGCGAGTCTCTTGGTCTTGCAAGTTTTCGGCTTCTCCGAGGCCTTGGTCGGTGACTTGGTTGCAGGCCGGTCGGCCTTGCTCGTAAGCGGCTTGTCCACCTTAACCTCGTAGTCTTTGCCCTTGAACTTGAATACCGACTTGCCGGCCTTGGCAACGCCCTTGGCGCAGACTTTAACCAGCGCCGGCATGGCGACCTGAAGAGCGATAGAGGCGATCCAGCCGACAAAAGGGATGAGACGCAGGGGCAGAGTCGCGGCCATGATGGCAACACGACAGAAGTCCTTGGCGGCGATTTCGAGCGCGAGGGTCTCGGCGGCCTCGAGAGCCAGGTCGGCGGCCTCGTCCTTGAACTACTCGCCGATCTGCTCCTCGAAATAGGCGGTTTGAAACCGGAGCAGCAATAGCTCTGCGAGCCGCCCGTGCACGTCTGGTTCTCGTCTTCAGTGCGATGGTTGGTGTTAGTCGTGACCTCAGTCTCGCCGTCGGCGCAACCGCCTGTGCAAGACAGTTCTAGCCCGCGGAAGCCTCGGCACTTGCAGGTTCCCATAGTCCTTCTTTTAGAACAGTAGAGGCGGCGGACCTGATCCTTGGGGCAGCGCGACATTGTGGACAAAAGCCCGGGCTGGCCCCTCATCTGCGCCGCCTCGTGATCGCCGGTGCGGCACTTGTCGTCGCACATGGTCGTGTAGCAGACGCCCTTGGCGGCCTCGTCCTGGTAAATTGCCTCGGCCTCTTCCATCTCCTCCGGGGTCATACTGCCGCCGATCGAGCTGTCCTGATCGATCTGATCCAGCGCCCAGATCATCATGACGCCAAGGCAGCGGGAGGCAGCGAACTCCCGCTTTTGCATGAGCGTCTCGTCATCGTCATATAACACCCACTGGTCGTTGTCCCAATTCATCCACTTAACTCCGGCCTCCTTATCGTGGGTGGGTTTGAGCTTCTTGTCGTCGATAATACCGAAGATCTCCTGCAGGTTGAGGATGCCCGATGCGCTCGAGCAGGGACTCGGCTTTGCTCCGCCGGAGAACTTGCACTCGCCGTTGGGCTTGTTGCAGTTCGGGTCCTTAAGGGTGAAGGAGCGTCCGTACACTATTCGAGGTCAGGTTAGGTGATGAGGTTTTGGCAGTATGTACAGACGCATGATTACTCACATCCCTGGCCAAGAACGATGTTCTGAGACTTTACACCAGCTCTCCAACGCAGATCGAGACCCAGATTGATCTTGGTGAGGTTGGTATGAGTTGCTACGTAAGGACCCACAAACTAAGAGGCCGCATCCCAGGTACCGTGCAGGTCGTACGACATAAGACTGAACCAGTCAACGTAGGGCTGCACCTTCGCCAGGTCAAAGTGTGGGAGGTACCAGTAGGACGCGGGCAGCGTGAGAGAGTAGCCGTAGCCCTTCTCCGAGAAGGCCTCCTTAATGTCTTTGGAGAGAAGAACGAAGTTGGCCTTGTCTTCGGGCTTGCCACCACGGTCGTCTGCAGTGGGATACTCCCAGTCCAAGTCCACGCCTGTGAGGCGGTCAGTTCGCATCTCTGAGGTTGACTCATGTTGCCCAAGAGCATAAGCAGTAACGCACCATCGAACCCGTAAGTCTCCATGAACTTGATCAAGTTTCCGATGAACTTCTTGCGGTTTGCGGCGGTACTTGACATGGTACTGAAGGCGTGTTGATACTTTCCAGCTGTGGTGAGTTGCATCTGTTAGTGTTGAACTAAAGGTATTCAGTTCGGAACACTCACGATCATTGAAGGGCCATCCACCGACACTAACCCATGTTTCCAGCCCGGGCTTCCGCTCCTTCAGGCTGGTGAACCGGCTAATGAGGGAACTCGCATTCTTGTCCATGGGCGAAAGCTCAAAGGTGTTGGGCTCGAAAAACATGAAGGCAAAGTTGACGTGAGTCAGGCCCTGGAGGTTGAGTTGCTCAGGGGACACGGAACTACAAGGTCGTGTGTTGGCCCAAGTCTCGTAATACCCGATAGATCGCTGGTTGACTGAAATCGAACTGTTTTTAGAAGGAATTCAGCGGGAAAAAGATTGGGTCGTCTTACTACTTGTGCCGTCCTTGCTGTAAGAGGGGCGCTTAGGGGGGCCACAACCGCCGAATTCCTTTTGACAACCCTTCTCGGCATCGCAGAAGTCGTCGGTTGAACCGCAAAATCTGCGTATGTTGTCAGTCTATTATTCCGCAAGTCAAAGAGACAGTCCATTCGTACCCAGACTCCAGAACAGCAGACGCCTAGCGGGCAGATTTGCTTCCCTGGAACACCATATTCGCCGCACTCGGCTTTGGCGTCGCAGTTCGACGTGCAGTTGCCGACACCGCATTCTGATGGTGAATACCCACAGAGGCCAGTGAGCTTGGTATCAGAAAGTCAGAACAGCATTGAAACACGACCAGCTATTTGATCTGATTCTGTGAATTTCGAGAAAGACAGTGGTGGGGCTTCAACTTACACCGCTGCAACAGGCGCCGTTGACACAGGGCGTTGCGGCATTACAGGTGCCGACTGGCAGCTCTAGCAACTCAGCAGGGGCGTCAACACCAAGAATGGAAAAGGCAGAGTTGAGGAGAAAGCTGGGTTCGGCGTCTTTCTCTGCCTTGACGCGTTCGACGGCCTCGCTGACGTTGAAGGCGTCTGTTCTATTGGACGAAACGAGGGAAGAGTTGGAGTTGGCCGCAACAGAGAGGGCGGGCCAGGCCAATAGGCCGATCAAAGAGGGCCGCATGTCTCAGGACTAAAGACGCCCGAGACCGAGCGATGAGGAAGAGACTGGACAGTGACTTGTGCCGCACTGGAGGCTTATAGACAGGAAGACTGCCAGGAGGTCGGTCACTCGTGGCGAGAGGATGGGAGCGGAGGGGGAGAAAGAGATGCGGCGAGGCACGAGACGGGCTATGAAGACTCATCAGGTGTCATGATGGCCACGGTCTCTCTTCATCGTCGCCGAATCGGGTTGCAGGCGCTAGGTTACCTTTTTCGGAATTATGCGTCTTACTCAAATTTAGGATCACGCCGTCGTTCCCTGAAATCCCACATGGTCTCTGGGTGATATCACAACTAGACTGAACTCCGGAATACCCAGAAAAGGCTCTCCTCCGTCCTCGCAGTTAGAATATTAGTAGCAGTTAACAGGCAGACACTTTGTAGGTCAAACCTTAGCATTTCAGACTATTTTAAAGTACTGACCTACCTCCTCTTAAGTCACTTCTGTCCCTACACCACTAACTTTAAATCCTTAACTCTAAATCCTTAACTCCTAAGTTAATAAAAAGAGAAAAAAAGCTTCTCTAATAGTATAGACCATAGCCTAGTTACCTTTAATTTAAGGTAGTATTTCTAGAGGTAAATTTCTCTAGAAAGTTAATTTATACTACTATATTCTAGATACACTTTAAGCTTATAGATATCTCTATTTTCTTCTTTTTTTTTTCTTAGTAGAAGGGAAAGCTAGTCTATACGTAAGTCTATGTAGAATAAGCGAGATACTTTAAGAGATACTTTGATGATTTAAATACTGCCCCACAAAGGAGTCTATAGACAAGCTGATATTGTCCCCCCCCTGTTAACCCAAGAGTACTATGCACAACAACAGCAATAACAGCAATAAACCTTATATCCTAAAGGCTGCAGGTTTAAATCTAGTTTAAATCTAGTTTTCTTAGATTTTTTAAGTTCTAAAACGGCTCCGCCGGGGAGGGTTAGAATAGTACTAACCTACCTTGCTTCCTATGCTGCGCTCTGGGTTGGGATGGGCCAAGACTATCCCTTTTGCCTCTAAGATAGTTGTGTTATCACCTGAATCCACTGTCTACTGGACTCTGCATAGGCTAGAACGCACGGTACTCTCAGGTTGACAGGGGGGGGACAATATCAGCTTGTCTGATCACTCCCCGCAAAGTGTCTGCCTGTTAACTGCTACCTATCCTACCGCTTTGGGCACACGTAGACTGCATTAGGACAATTAGGTTTCGCTAAGTAGATGAAATCCTGTTTCAATATCTGAGCATAATCTAAAGCATAAAAAAATCGCGAGTAACCACTTGCGATGAATTTAACAGAGTTTCAATGTTGAGAGGTTACGGTATAAATAGACTATAGAATAACTCCTCTTTTCTTGTAGATAAGCACAAGACTTAAATCATCGCTTTATTCTATTATCATCTTCTACAACGCCACAATAGTCATCAAGTTATTCACTGTTCGTTACCACCTCCTCAAGGTCTTCAACAATGTCTTCTACGCTAAGGACTCCGATACCCCTCCCGATGGGCCCCGAGATCACCAACAAGCTGGCAGCTGACTCGTCGCCCGGTAGCGGTGCAACAAAGAAACCATTGCTCAGAAAACCCTTAAATTCGCCAGGCGACAAGGCGAACCTTGTCGAGTTTTGGCGAAACCCAGATGCAGGCAGTATCTACAAACACACGGAGATTGGCACCTTTCCTATAACGCCATGTCTAGTGCAGCACGCGCGGCTGTCCGAAGCCGTGACTGCGGCGAGGAAGCCGCTGGAGGTGATGGATATGTGCTGTGGGACAGGCGTCGTGTCGTCTTACATACAATCCATGATGCGGGAGATGAACCCCGCGGAACGGGAGAAGGTGAGGCTCACGAGCGCGGACTCGAGCGAGGCGCAGTTAAAGATTGTGAAGGAGAAGATTACGAAGGAGGGGTGGCTTGGAAGTAAGGTTGTTCAGGCTGATATCATGGTACGTGCGCACTCGCCGACTGAATGGCTTGAGGATTTTGCCAACGCGGCGGTAGAATATGGCGTTTCCCTCGGATCACTTTGATGTTATCATTGTTGCTATGGCGCTGATGCTCGTTGCGGACCCTTACACTTCGTTGAATGGTGAGGCGCGATCTCAATCAAGTATAGACATCTTGTGCTAACACCCAAGTAGAATGCTACCGCGTCACCAAGCCCGGCGGTACTCTCGCGACCTCGACCTGGGTAACGGAAGGCTGGATTCCCGATACACGCGATGCCGTCGCTTCCCTCTGCCTGCCTGGTCAGCCTCCAGTCTCCTGGCCGCAGTCCTCTATAGAGCTTACAAGCCTCTGGGGCCCTGGCGCGTGGGAGTCACCGACATTCGTAAAGTCCATGTTCACGGCCGCCGGATTTGTGGACGTTGAGGTGAACGTCGTGACCAAGTGGGTGCGGTACAGCGGAGTTGATGAGTGGTGTTTGGTTTTCCAAGCATTTATGCACGGCGTTATAGAGAGGTTCTGGACAAGAGAGCAGAGGGACAAGTTGCAAGGGAAGTTGATGCCGACACTGAGGGCGTTTCTAGAGAAGAAGTACCAGGGGCAGCCCCTCGAGATTGAGAGGACCATCTTGCTTGCGAGGGGAAGAAAGCCTGAGCTGTAGGTCGGCTGGATGTTTCAAGATTGTGCAGAGTCCAATTTATATCATCAAATACTGGCCTAGCATGGTACATAATAAAAATAAAGCATGGCAGTTTATTGAGTTTGAGATACGATGCAGCCACGCAGGCATAGGTGTTAACCCACAAACCAGTACAAAGCCAGGTTTCAGGAAATATCGAATTGGGCTACAATGATGTTGCATTGTTGAGCAATGGTCAGGGAGGTGTTACCCAAGACCACTAAGTGGGACGTTTTGCAGCTTGCGGCTATTCTGACATTGACTGGGATGTGCGTCGCCACGCCAGCTCCAGGTTGGCCCGCGTCGAAGTGTAGCCGATGGTGAAGATCTATCCATGCGCACCTAGCCCACTGTATTGTGTATAGACCATTTCTCTCACATTCTCCAACCTGTGCTAGATTCCCTCCCCACAAGAAGCAATTGCCGCGCGAACAGCGGAAATCTATTTCTTGGCCACACTTGAATCCAGCCGGGCCAAGATGGCTTGGCATGGCTAGTCGCTTGGCGTCAGGGTCTGGTCAATGTGAAGAAGTTAACAATAGGGCTACTTAGCCAGTAGGCATAGTGTTACAACACCATCAATATCTGGCCAACTGCAACTGACACTTGGCATGCTTTGTCCAGTTTCGAGCAACGTCTGTCAATTGGCCTACACGCCAAGGGGCGATTGATCTAATCAGATGATCTTATCAGATTAGATCATCATCCTCCACACCTTCCCGATATCACAGAGAGAGAAAGCATTGTCGGCCTTGGCTCGTACCAGAAGTGGATGAGGGCTGGCCGATAGCGGCCTTGGCTCGCACCCGGAGTGGATGAGAGCACTCAGCGGCGGCCTCCTCTTCGGTTGGACGTTGCCTTGAACAGGCCTCAAATAGATTGGCTGCCCCTCTCGTGTGTCGCGCCCGTTTTGAGACTTGACAAGCACGCTACTGTTCTACGGACTTGCGACCGAACTCTGATCTTTGTCTGTCAAGATGGTCGACACACAGCCCACCCTCAAGGAGCTCGCTGCCAAGATCACCGAGCTGGCGGCAGCCTTCACTAAACAGCTTCAAGCAAACAATATCCCGCAGGCGACCTTTGCCGCCGACAGCGTATCTAGCTATGAGGGCATCACCGGCGAGATGTTCATCACGCGTCAGACGCTCAACGATGCGTTGAACGACATGTATATTCTTTCCCAAGGCCCTACGGAGAGTGTCTACAACTACGTCCACAACGTGCGACCTCCCTCCTCACTCTCCTTCTCTGCAAAGACCGGCCGAGGTGCTGACGGACCCACTCCAGGCCATGCCCGACGCCTCCTGTCTCAATGTACTGAACCACTTTGACTTCTGGGCGGCGGTACCGATCGACGGCTTGGCATCGTACGCCGAAATCGCGGAGCGCACGAACCTGCCACTCGACGTGGCATACCGCGTGTTGCAGCATGCCTTTACGCTGCGCTTTTTCGCTGAGACGGAGCCCGGGCTCGCGACGTCACGCGTACGGCACACATCGCGGTCGGCGGCGCTAGCGCGGAAGCCTGGTCTCAAGGCTCTTGTGCACTCTGTGCTAGACACGTCGAGCGCGCCGCTGCTCCTGCTGAACGAGGCACTCGAGCGCTACAGCGCCGGTAAGCCCGCCCTGACGGACAAGATGGAGGAGACGGCCTTTGCACTGTTGCACCAGGGGGGCCAGTTCGACGGTCGCCACGCCAACTCGTGGGATTTTCTCGAGAACCACGGCGAGGGCGAGCGGCGCGGCTGGCGCCAGAAATACTTTGTCGAGTTCATGACCTTCATAAAGGACATCTTCCGCCTTGAGGGCATCGTGCTGAAGGCTACAGACTGGGAGGCGGCCGGCAAGGCCAAGGTCGTCGATGTGAGTTGAGACACGCACCCCTGATTGAATGATTGCACTTCTAAGCCTCTCATAGATCGGCGGGTCAGCCGGTAACGACGCATTTAATCTGGCGCGCAACTTCCCCGACCTGACGTTCGTCGTTGAGGACATGCCCAAGGTCAAGCCCATCTTCGAGGCGAACCTCCCGGCCGAGCTCGCGGACCGCGTGTCGTATGTCGAGCACGACATCCTCCAGCCGCAGCCAGTCGAGGCCGACATCTACATTCTCAAGTTGATCATGCACGACTACCCGGAGGCTGTAGCGTCGCAGCTTCTGCGCAACCTAGTGCCCAAGCTCCGACCGGGCAACCGTGTTCTTGTGATCGAGTACATTGGCAAGGTCGACGAGGACGCGACGCGCGACCCGGAAAAGGAGGAGGAAAAGAAGGCGGGCCCGCCGCTGCCGCGGTCCGTCCAGCAGATGGGCACGGCCACCGACCTCCGCATGATGGCCCTGTTCAACGCCAAGGAGCGCCCGGTCGAGGCGTACAGGAGCATCGTAAAGAATGCGGACCAGCGTTTCGAGGTGATCAAGGTCGACGCTGACCCCCTGACGTTCTTTGCCACGATTAAGATTGTGTGGCGTGGATGAATTATTACGAGGGCAAAATGGATATGACCTACGTAGGTGAGCCAAGTTGAAAAGACAGTACACGATAAAGAATCGAATACTTACCAATGCGACATTTGATCGGTCCAGAATGCACTTCAACCCAATACAATATTTGATCGAATAATCACGTATTTATTAGTAATGGCCCAAAACTTATTGAAGTGTGGCAACAAGCGGTCAAATGCCGGTTACGTAGACGTCAGCTACCTCAGGTATTCATCTTAAACCCAGGATTGGGCCTTAGCTGGTGAGTAGTGGAAATGGACAAGGTTTAATTCGCTTCATATGAAGCAAGCATTGCTTGTGTTTATATAGACTCTTATCATCGGCCTATTAGATCATGTTCGATAAGACATTGTTTTGCTAGTATGACCTAGTAACCTAAATGGATTCTATCGCGTTAGGTGTTCAGAATTAGTCACTTCTTCTTTGGTCCTATGTAAGCTAATAGAGCGAGCAATTAAATATCTTCTAGTTTTTACCAGTACAATAATTCTTATAACGTTTCCCCACATAGACGTTTTGTATAACAGACACCAAAAAATGGCGTTTCCCACTATTGATTCCGAACCCCTGTCTTATGTAAATCTTTGTAGTACAATCAACACCCCTAGGTAGGTTTAGGTATTAATACTGTGATAAAATGGCAGTATAGTAGCTACAAACTCTCGCCCCGTCCACTGCAATCTTGATTCTCTCCCCGTAGGGTGATGGAGTAGGCGGATTACTGGTTTTGAGCTGTTTTATCGGCATCGCCTTTAGTACCTCTGCTACTTGAGTGAGTGCTGAACCGTATTTCTTAAACTGTCGTATGCGGGTCATAATTCTGCGGAAAGACCTGGTCTTCGGCAGTGCGGAATGTCCGTCCACATGCTGATTGATTTCCTCCAGAAGCGCTCCTTTGTAGTGCGTACCTGTGCTTCCACTTCTGCCATGCTCATTGCAACCGTAAGGGATGAATCGACTTTGCGGATACCCTCTGTATCCTGTTGACAGGTGCTACCAGTCTGCCCTTGTGCGCGTGCATCCCATACTTTGAAAGTGTTGTCCACCACTGGCGTAATTGTAGCTTTGAAGAGTTACCTTGTTGTCGCTGGTTAAAGGCTCTTGAGTCGTTGCAACTCCATTGCCACTTTCGGCCCCTTGGACAATGTCGCGATGTGCTCTTTATACATGAGTTCTGAGTTCATATTCAAGTCAAGAATCTTGGTGTTCCTAAGGTTGAACGACTTGTCCTTTTATGGTGTAAGCTTGTGGTTCTAACATTCACTTTTTTAGATAAAGCAAATGCTCGCCAACTTTTCAGCCTTGAATGTGGTCCGGTTGCTTCTTTCCAAACCAAGATTGCCGTTGATAATGGTCTGATGTCTTTGCGGTTGACTCCAGCCGCCTCTCTGGTCACACTTACGGCAAAGTCGTCAACAAAGGCCATTGCTCCCCCTGTTGCTGTAATCTTTGGTTGAACCAGGCCCGCGATATTTCTCATTCGAGTGGTGAAGAAGAGACGTCAGAACAAGGAGAAAATACCATGTTCCAAAAACCAATGCAGATCAGCCTCACCAGCAGCTTCACATCACGATTGAGAAGAACCATCCAGATAATATATTTCTAGAGATTAGGTATATCATGTTACGTTATATTCATTTGGTGACATTCTGGCCATCCTCAAAGCCATGCTGCACACGGCCTTTGTGTTGACGCTACAGCCCTAAGCAGCGATTGAGAATCATGCCTCGGCGTAGGTCTACGAAAGGCTTGCCACTAATGCGCTCTGACTCTTGACATGAAGTAGAATCTTAGACGCTCTTTGCCTTCTTTACTTACTTTGCTCTCTAAGCATCACAACACATCACTTATCCCTGGTAGGATTTCTAAGCGGTGCTCTGAAATATAAACTACTCCTGAATGACAATTGCCTCTGTTGGTTTTCACTGGTTAATTAATGGGATCCTGTATCTTGTGATATCACGAAGGTTAGGAAAAGGTGGTTAAATTTGTAGTTGTTAATAGTTAACTAGTTAACAAGGTGAAGTAAGAGCACAAGTGTAGTAGCACCCTTGCGTATAGGCAAGGGTAAAGGATTCTACTAGTAGGCAGTGTATTATATAACCTACTGCCTCTAGCTATATTACTTATATACTAACACTAGTAACTTTCTTGTGTAATAAAAGTTACTAGTACTTCTATTCCTCCTAAAAAGCCTAAAAACATAATAAAAACAAGAAGAGCAAAAGTATTATACTTTTTATAGTTATATACTGCTATAAATTTATTTATCTATTACTTAGTAAAGGTAGGCTTATACTATCTTATTTAGGTATATTTTCTCTTTAGCTATAGCTATTAGAGGTATATACCTACGTTAAATAGATTTAACTACTATTAATTTATATAGTTTATATAACCTATTTCTTTCTCTAAGTGCTTATTATCTTATATCCTATTGTTTTTATTATTTCCTGTTATATTTATATAACTTATCCTTTTATTTATATCTTTACTTTATTATAAGAGATAAGACTCTTAAGTGCTTAGTTTAGTAAGAACTTTATAAACCTATTAGTAAAGTTATTATTACTATAGATCTATTATACCTTAAAGAGCTTATGTTACTTATATAATTATTATAGTGCTATAATATTAATTATTAAGTGCTTTTTATAGGTAGTACCTAACTTTACTAAGCACTTATATAGTAAGTATAAGTTAGTGTAAGTAATAGTAGGGATTAATAGGTTACTAAGCTTATTTACTACTATTATAATAGTTATAGAGAGAGTATATACTATATTAACGCCTATAACTATACTATAGACTTTTAACGTAAGAACACTTTATATTACTTGTTTAGATTTAGTTAATAAGAAATAGAGGATATTACTATAGAGAGTAAACTTACCTTACTAGTTATTAACCTCTTTATTAGTAAAAAGGATAATAAATCTTAACTATAAAGTTAAGTTATAATTATTAATAAAAGATCTATTAATAAATATAAAGAGCTTTATATTAGGTAGGTTAAGAGAATAAAGGTAAAGCTATAGTTAAGTATATTTATTTACTACTAGATTCTTTAGTTAAGTTATTAAATAGCTTTACTGTCTAGCTCCTTATACTAAGCTACAGTAGATAGGTTAAAGTACGCTTTAGGCTAGTAGATAGAAGTAATATATACGCCTTAAGCTTACTACTAGATGTAGTCTTACTAGGCTATAGGTAATTTCTTGTTAATAAGTCTTAGCTTTATGCCTTAGCCCTTCTAGTAAAGTGTAATAGAGGTGTTTTTAGCTAAAGTTAATAAGATAATTCTTTATTAAATACTAGAGGTTTATTCTCTATAAGTAAAATTTTCTTTTTTATAAAAAGCTTTACTTTAGTAAGCTTATTATCCTTATAGTTAAAGAAATTAATACTAGTTAGGCTAATTATATTATCTATTTATATCTTAATTATTATAAAGTTAGGGTTTTTTATAGATAAAAGGAGTAGGCATAGGTTATATAAAGTAGTAACTATATTAAGCTTTTTATAGTAGTAGTAGTTATAGGTTGCCTACTAATAGGTACTTGCTTTAGTAAGGCTATATAATAGCTTTACTACCTTTATAATAGTGCCTTAAGGGTAGTAATTATAGATTTAAAGGGGAAGTTATATATAGATAGTGTAGTTAAGTTATAAAGTTAACTATATATAGGCCTATGTTATGTCTTATAGCTATATTACCTTACTATTAGCTATAAGGGAAAAGGTAAGTGTAAGAATTATACACTAGCTAGCTTTCTAAATTATAGGTAACTAAACTAGTAAGGTTTCTTTACTATTATTACTATAACCTTATACTATAAGTTATAATTTCTTATATAGCTTGTTATTTTTGCCTTTAACTTTATTAATAAGGTAAGATTTAAAGATATAGCCTTAGTAAATAGAAGGATTATATATAATAATCTTAAATATACTATAGTTAATAAGGCCTTAGATCTTGCTTTTGCCTAACTATTTAAAGGGCTTACTAGGTGTAGTAATAATGCCTTAGTTATATAGTTGTTATATAAGTGCTAGGTCTACTTCCTCTTTAGCTAAGAGAAAGGCGCTAGAGGGTTTATCTATTTCCTATAGTAGTATATTAACTAAGGTCTTGTGTAGTTACCTATAGGTATACTATAGAGGAGGAGAGGTTACTGTTTAGATAGGTTTTCTTGTTCTTGTAGTAATAATAATAGTATTCTTTATATATTTACTAGTATAGTTAGTATCTATAGGTTAGTTAGGTTAAGGATTTATATTAGTAGGCTTATTTATTTCCTTCTTAGTGTAGTAAGGTTTAACTAAGGTAGAATAGAAGTTATATAGGCTATTAATATTAATAGTGTAATCCTTACTATTAATAAATAGTAGGCAGTGTAGGCTAAACTATTTGCCCTTCTTACACTATACTTATACCTTGCTGCCTAACAGTAGGTCCTTAACAGCAGAGGTATCTAGGCTATTATATATCTTAAGTGCCTTATAGACTTAGTGTGTTATATAGCTCTTGTAGAGGTTATTAGTAGCCTTTTAGATAGTAGTTACCTATTAAATAATATTAGGTAAAGAAGTAAAGTTAGTAGTTATATAGAGGTAAGCGCTAAATACTAAGAGGGTTAGTATAAGGCTATTAGGGCCTATAGTGTTATTAACTACTTTAACTACACTTTAAAGGATAGATTTATAGTTAGTAGTTAGGCACTCTTTATATATAATTTTATAGGCCTATTAAAGTACTACATAGTATTATTTAACCTTTTTAATGCTATAGTACACCTTAATAAGGATAATCTTAACTTTAATGCCTATTATATAGGCTTTATATAAAAATTTAGTTATAGTAAAGTTCTTGCCTACGTTAGTAATAATCTAGTCTAGAGGTCCTTAGTAGACGTTAATCTAGCAGTAATAAAGTGCCTCCTATATAGTCTTTATAGAAATATTATAAAGAAAGTACACTATATTAAAGGTAGTTATAGTATTAATAATATAAAGAACTAGTTAGTTATCTTTAAGGTATATAATATTAATAATAACCTTATAGTTAAAAGAATAGTTATTATATAAGGTAAATTTAAATTATAAAGGTGCCTTCTTATAGAGCTAGTAGTAATAGTAGTATTTAGTTAAGTGCTTAATAGCCTTAACCTTAACCTTATAACTAGCCTTATAAAAACCTTATAAAGACAGTAGACTAATAGGTGCCTAAATTATTAGTAAAGTTATTATAACTCTATATTAGTTAAGTAGTAACTAGTAAGGCTATGTTTAGGTAGGCTAAGAAGTATTTATAGATACCTTTATTTTTATATAACTAGTACTATAATATTACCTTATTAAAGTATATTTATAAGGTTATTAAAGTAAATAAGTAGTTAATCTATATTTACTAGGTAAAGTAAGAAGAGTATATTTATAAGCATTATATAAAAGGTAATAGGCCTAAATAGTATACTAACTATAATAGTGCCCTTTAAGTAAATAGTGTTACTACTACTAAACTAGATCTTTACTTAGCTAGTAGTAGCTATATTAATAGTTACTAATAGTTAGATCTATATAATATAGTTACTTATAGGTAACTAGTAGTAGAGAAGGTTACTACACCTATATTAGGCAAAATACCTTAAAAGGTACCTAATAAGTAATAATCTAATATAAAAGAGGTAGCTAGATCTAATAATACTACACTAGGGTTATCCTTTATTAATAGTAATAGATAGCTTAGTTAGCTAGGCTAAAGGTAAGCTTATTACTACTAAAGGTAGTACTACTAAAGAATATAGTAGAGGTATAAAAGGTATTACCTTCTAGTTTATCTTTACTGCTTTTAAGAGTATAGTTACCTTAAAGGTAGTAACTAAGGTCCTTATTATTATCTTTATTACCTTCTTCTTCCTATAGGTAACTACTTTATAGCTAGTAAGAAAGGTTTAATATATAGTTAGTAAAGAGTCTTTTACCTAGTAGTTATTTTTAAATTATTAATATACCTTATATTACTTATTAGTAGTATATTTTATTAACTAATAACTAGGCTTATAGTAGATATAGTACTTCTTAGTATTATAGTTACTATTATTATTACTTAATAGTTACTATTACTATAGTTATTACTAAACTTTAGTTATACCCTTAGCTATAGTAAGTATAGTTAACCTAGTATTAATTATTAAGGTCTACCTAGTACTAGCTAACCTTATTATTATATTTTATTATAGTACTTACTAATAACTATAGTTAGTTATAGACTTCTTCTAATATAGGCGCTAGATTAAATAGGTATAATTTACACTTATAAACTCTAGAGTAAGTATTTAATAGCTAGGATTAAAGGACTTTATTATTTAGTAGCTATTAAGTAACACTTACTAGATAAGGTAAGTTTATTAATAAGTTCTTAAGCACTTAAGCTTACTCTTCTTAGGGTTATTATATATAATATAGTAAAAGGTAGTATTTACTACTTAGTAAGTATATCTAAATAGCTTTAGGGCTCTTAAAGTAAGCTCTTATTTAGGTAACTATAGTAGTAAGGTCTTAGATATTCTACTACTAATTTAGGTAAAATAAAAGGTAAAAGCCTTGCCTTTAAGTATTAATAAGAAGGCTAATACTATCTAGTGTCTTTTAATACTAATTTTACTATAGTTATTATAGAATAAGTTTAACTTAATATTAAGTATATTATATATCTTACTAGTATACTTAGATTTATTAGTAATAATCTTAGTTAAGGTGCCTAATTACTAAGGAGAAAGATAGTTACTAATAGTATTACTCTTAATTAGTAGTAGCTATCCTATCCTTAGGGTTCTATAGGATTAGTGTATAAGTAAGTAAAAGGTTCTTACTATAATTAATAATAGGCAAAGAAAGATAATAGACTATTACCTTATTAAGATAGTCCTTATATTATATTATATAAGGGAAGTAGTAAATCTTATATAAATTAAGTCTACTGTAGTAATACTAGGTTTACTGCTCTTACTACTATAACTTTTACACTTATTTATTAAGTTAGGCCTATATTATTACTAGTTATTACTTAAGGTTTATAAATATTACTAGGCTTTATTTAGTTATATAGGTAATAGGTTACTATTACTGTTTTTACTTATACTACTCTAGGCTAATATAACTACGTTAGATATTATTTAGGAAGCTATTATATATTTTAATAAGCCTATTAAATATTACTAACTTATACTATACCTTCTTAACTTCTTTATTTATTTAAATATAAAACTTATTATTATTAATAATAGTAATAAGGTATAAGGTAATTTATTAATAGTCTTTAGGTATATAGACGCCTTAATTAAGAAAGAAGTTATAAAAAATTAATAGTAGTGTTTTACTAGTAGCACTAAAGAGGGCTTTATCTTATTTATTAAAGTAATATTAAAAGTCCCTTTAAAGTTTATAACTTATAAAGGTATATTTAGCCTATTTAGCTATATAATAAGTAAAGTAGAAGTAAATAGTAGAAAGGTTTACTTATTAAGAAGGATTTCTTAGCTATACTTCTTATAGTTAATATATTTTACTATAAAGGTAGGCACCTTAGGGTGTAAGGTACTACTAGATTAACTTATTATAAGGTTAGTTATTAAGGTTAATTAGTAGTAATTACTATATAACTTTTATAGTAGTAATTAAGTAGTAAGTTTCTTCTTAATATAACTTACACTTATAAGTCTAGATAGTGCCTAGTTAGTTTTATATATATAAGGTAAATAAGGATAGATTTTCTAAAGGGGTAAATATAAAAATAAAGGGGAAAGTTAAATAAGGTAGTAATTATTACTACTTAAGTGTCTCTTCTTAATAGCGCTATAGTTAGTATAGAAGAGATTCTTGCTTATTAAAGAGGTTCTAATAGCGTAATAGATACTATAGTGTTTCTTGTAGAGGTAAAGTAGCCTTAATAATACTTAACTTAGTTAGTAGTCTACTAGGTTATAGTAGGCTAAGTAAACTTCTATAATAGTAAGCCTTATTAATTACTAGTTATTAGTAATAATTAACTATTAATTAATGTTGGTTTTTACTAGTTAATTAATAGGATCCTATATCTTGTAATATTACAAAGGTTAAGAAAAGGTAGTTAAATTTATAGTTATTAATAGTTAACTAGTTAACAAGGTAAAGTAGGAGCACAAGTGTAGCAGCACCCTTGCGTATAGGCAAGGGTGGGGGATTCTGCCGGTAGGCGGTGTGTCACGTGACCTACCGCCTCCGGCCGCATCACCCATATGCCAACAGCCTCAGTTCAGAGCCAATCAGCCCTTCACATATCGCCTTCTTCGACGAGAATAGCTAGACTTCTTTGCAGCTGCGATCATCCTCACCAACAGGTAGTGGAATCATAAGCTAACCATTGGCTTGGCTGCAGCTTCTGTGTCATTGTGTTGCAATAATCAAATATTCACTGCTTGCTTGGCCGGGATCGCTTCATTAACAAGCCATCTAAGCCGAGCGGTTGTGTAGCGGGAGCATGCGCTGTGCGATGTATTACAACGCTGGGCAACAGTCCTGTTGTCGTAGAGGTACTTTTGGGGTAGGAAAAGGCATAAGAAAACGACTTAGTTTTCTGTGACTTAAACAGGGTCTGTGGCACGAAGAAATAGATTTGTTCAAGTGGGTCCTTCGTGTTGGGACGAACCCATCTGGAGAAATTGGGTTTCTGTGCCGAAGAAAACCCGTTCCGAAACGAACGGCTCGTGAGGCCGGTGAAGGCATCACGACAACTGTGCAGCGCAGGGGCATGCACCCTCATGATTGCAAGGGTCTACGAAGCGTCCAGACTCCTGAGACCTATACACCTAGATGCATTCCGAGTCGCTACACCAACTTATAGCTTTTACCCGACATGTCCTGGCCAGAATGAAGATCAAGGGCGGCCTGGGCGTTACGCTACTCACACATTTCAGGATCACGCCCCTAGAGAGATCTGAAAATCAATCGGGTGCCGTGGTTTCCTTCGCTGTATTGAATCGTGGCGGAGCAGGCGTTCTTCGCTCACTAGGTACTACAAACCAGTATTATCAGTTCAGTTAGGAACAATTCGCCAACCTCTACCTGGAGGTACATAGTCCTGCTTATACTTGCTTGCAGTGCCCGCCTACCTGCATCGGTGCTGGTTCAAACCAAATTGATTCTTGGCACGTTTTAGTGAGAGAGCCTTGCAGTCAATTCCAACAGCCCTAAACCGACATGCAGGATTCAATCCCTTTGGCCCCAAGGAGTGTTATCAAACGTGGAAAACATGCCTGATCATACCATACAACAACGGGGGTTTTGATGGTATGTCGCTAAAGCATAGATATGTCGGATCTCCGTTGCTGGTCGGTTTCTCCTTTCAGGGCCAATCATCCATTATGGGGCCCGATAGCCTCATCAAGCAAGATTTGGTTGGCCCTTCGTCCTACAGTATGCGTTGCGGTTTCATTAACGGAATAATGTATTGCCGATTACCACCCAACTCCGCTTGCCAGCCCCCGTTGTTGCCTGTATTTTTCTCTCCTTTGCCTTCTATGTTTCGCCGTTTTCCCCATCTCCATTTACGCCAGCGTTTCGTTTTCCATTTCTGTCCGCCTCGTCCTGCGCGCACACGCTCACAGTCGACTGACTGACCTGTCCCTGGCGTCCCGGTCGTTCGACTGCTCTTGACTGCTTGCCTGACTCTTTGCGCGAGCAGGACTAGAACCCGCCGGAACCCATCCAAGCCATGACCTTCGTATAGCGTCCGGCTTGGATCTGTCACCCGTCGCTCTGGTCATTCTACTACTTGTAGAAGAGTCCCCAATGCACCTCGAGTTGGATCGTGATCACGCCAGGACCCGTCTTGTCTACAGCAACGCGTGAAGGACTGAGTCAAATGGCAGGGAAGCACAGCGCTATAATCACGGTAAGTACAAGTACCAACCCACCTGGTTCCTGCTTGCTACTCCCAGTCTGTGGACGTCTAGGAGATCGATTGCAAGCGAACGCGACATGTCATCCAGCATTGTGTTACGAATACCGCCTCTCGACGTCGTCGCGGTGTGCGAAGACAAAGACGGACGACAGCATGAATTCATCGACCGGGCATTTAAGTTCAGCAGTGCGCATCTAGCGCCAAAATCATTTTGTCTCCGTCTCAGCGATACTGTCAGTGGTGGTGACTGCGATGACACTGTTATCTACCTGCAAATCACACCCGAACATCTCGATTCGATGAGCTTTGAGTTTTGCAGATCGAATGATGCAAGACTACCACACTTGGACAGTGTGCGTCGTCAACAGGGCTGCAAGGGCGACCTGGCTCGTCTTCGGTTCCAGCTGCGTGATAGTATTCACGCACAGTTTATCGTGCCGAAGAATTTCCCTGACTATGAGGCTCTCGACAGTCCGGCTCGATGCACCTTTGATATCGTCGCCTCGCTCGCGGTCTCTCCGTCGTTCTCCTTGTATCTTCCGGCCAACAAACTGTCGAAGCAGCTGCTCAATAGTTGCGTCAATGCTGTTAAGAATTTTCCGACCTTGACAGGCAAAGAGCTTTCGTCATATCAACGAGCGGTGGATCTGCATAGACTATACCGTGGTACTGGTGGCAAGGTGCTCGCCACTGGTGATTACAATCGTAGCGCCCGGGCAGATAAGCAGCGGAACAGATCTACTTCACCAGTGACTACTGAGTCATGTGCCACGACAGTCGACTTCGACACCGTCCCGCGTCATCAGGGCTCACCCCCTGAGTACGGCGAATGCGTCACCGAGGGAAAGAAATCCCGGACGATCTCAAATGATGCAGCCAATTTCGTCGAAAAGTCCATTGTTGACTGTGCACCGCCGAAGTACAGCGAGACCGAGCAGTCGCGCAATGTGTCAGGTGCTTCCAAACGCGTATGGCAATGTGGAAATGAGGACGTGCTCCTGCACCCAAGCCCCAAAAGAGTGCTTTCACAGGATTCATTTACCACGATATCTGCACCGGCTGCGATGGGAAACGCTCGACGCCTTGAAACAAAGCTGAGACCTGAATCAGACGATGCGGACATCAATGATCATATACTGCTTCGTAACTTGATGCGTCAGATTAAACAGCAAGAAGAACAGATAAAGTACCTACGGCAGGACCAACAGAGCAAGCAAAGACGACAAGAAAAAATCATCAAGCAACTACAGGATGACGTCGAAAAATTGCGGCGGTATAATACGGACCTTGAGGGACGTTATCGTGCGCTAGAGGAGATGTATGATGATCTTGCACAACGACAAGATCAGGCTGAGGGGGCCTTGGAGAGCCTCGACGTTCACTTTGGTGAGCTGGAAGGGTTTTGCGGCAAACTGGACCAGCAAATTCCAAATGTCTCGGACGAATTGGAAGACTTGGTGAGGGTCAAAATGAGCGACATGTGGGGAGAATACATGGGCGACTCGATGGAGCATTTGGGCGACTTGGTGAAAGAGCATATTGAAAATTTATTTAGCGAGTACATGGGCAAAGAGAGTGACGGGAATCTGGGTGGACGGCTGAGAGAGTATGTGCGTAAGAATGTCACGACTCAGATGGCCGAAATGAAAGCGAAGATGCGTGAGGCTCTACAAGAGTAGAGATACTACTATTTGGGCACGTGCAAAAGCCGAGTATTGGTTTCGGTGTTTTGATAGCAAGTCTACTAATTAACTACACCATCCAAGCAGCTAATACGACTTGATACTGTCGCAGGCGCTTCGTGTAAAGTAGTGGTTAATAAAGGCGAGATGCGACACATGCGTGACTCCGTTGTTCACCCTTAATGCTGTGTGTAATAGGTAAAAACTACCACTTAGCATCTTGGTAAGGACCTTTGGCTAGCGGTACGGAAGTCCGGGCGGTTGTAGAGTTGCTCTAAATCGGCCGACCCTTGTCCCGGACGAGGGAAGGGAGAAAAGCATTGGTGGTCTACCTCGACTAGAGGGCCTCCCTTTCCTGACAAGTATCTCCACCTGTCATTGGTCAACTTGTCAAAGACAATGGAAGAGGCCTACTGGGCCAGTCCTGGTCCCTGGCGGCGCAACCGTCTTCTTTTTGTGCGCAAGGGTCGCGTCTTCCTGTTTGTTTAGTGGCGAGCTGGGCCGGCTCGCGTTCGTCACCGTCGCTCTATCGCCCTCCAACGATTGACAGAAGTCAGATCGGACTTCGTGCTGCTTCAACTCATGCATATTTTAAGCAGTCAACGGTAATCAAGCTCGCTAAAAGGCGATTGTGCTAAAGAGCTGTTACGATGTCTGGTGTTGTACTCTACTTCAGCCTAAGCTAAAGTTAGTTCATATCAAGTCAGGCATAGCCATCACCCGAGACAATTTTCATTTTAGGAGAACATTTGAACTGGTTCCACATCGCTGGAAGGTCTTTAATGCTGTTTTCCCGAGCCCATTCCTAGATAGCGTCAAAGTCTTAGGGTTATTCACCAAGTCAAATCAGGCATTAGCCTTGTCTTAGTTCAGGAATACGCTCGTTGTAAACCCAATTGTGAGATATAATGCCAACGTCAGCTATACAAATGATATTTTGAAGCGGTATGTGTATGCAATGACTGCTGGCCAATTACCTATTGCTAATTAACACGCTTTGACAGGGCTCTGCTTATACCTTCTTCTATAGCCAAGCCTATAATAATACATGTACGTTAGTTCTAAGCTTTGTAGACCTCTTTTAACAGAGGCTGCCTCTAGATAGAAGAGTTGTCTCAGAGCTTCCTGTTTAAGGTTCAGAAGACTAAGTGAAAATCAAGGGCGTCAAGGATCAGTCCTTTGCAAGTTGGCCTAATATTCAGAGAGGGGGAAAAAAGAGGTGTTCTTTTTTTTTTTTTAGAGAAAGCTGAACGCATCTTCAAAACACCGTTAAGATCCGGTCGGCAGTAATCACTGCGGCTCTTGCTGCTCTAGCAATGCTCAAGGTATCAAGCTCTATCCAAGCTAACAGCTGAAATCACTGCGGTTGCGATGTCCATGCCGATTAGAAGAACTCGAAGCAACCTAATGCTTCTCAGGTTACACCGCTTTTCTGGAACAGCTGGCTCAAACTCCGTCGGTCTGCCTTCGCTTTCAAATCCGGACGCCAGTTCATGGTCGTCTGGATTAGCTACTAACAAGTATCTTGAAGTAAGAGGTCGCATGCCTCCTTTGTGTAGGCAAAAGCTACAGATTGTTAAAGAAATGAAGTAGAGTTCAATGAGTATACAAAGAGGCATTCTTTTCCCTCTGAAAATACTCTTGGGTAGACCCCTCATAGCGAGCAGATAAATTTTTATAAAAAACGGAAACAAATTAGGAAAGAAAAAACCCTTTCCTTAGATCATTGTGCCGCTCTTAGCTTCGTCCTGTGCTTGGCAAGCGACGAGTAGGGTCGGATTCTTGGCTTTCTTTTAAAAGATCCGACTTGTTACTTCCAAGCTCACTATCGAATAGTGGCCCTTGACATCTGGCCATGTTCCGACTGGCTGCGAGCCCAGAGGGGTTTTCCAACCTCATGTCGCCAACATTACACCTTTAGATCTTGCCTTCCGGACTAGCTACCTAAAACGGAATGTCGCTTACAAGAGCACCACAAGTCAAACAATGGGGTGAATAAAAGCCTCAGGCGATCAGAATCCGGAGGAAATGATGAAAGATTCAAAATCGAATCTCAGAGCGGTTTGGAAGAGCGCGCCAGAGGCTGTGCGGGAGCCTCGACGGCCTCTGCCAAGACCTGGATGATTAACTTATCAAAAAGATCTTTCGCGACTGTTTCTTCCCACATAGTTCAGTACTTAGAATATCAATCCGTCTCTAGCCATTGAGTTTCTTGTGCAACTTCTTAGCTGCTACCTTTGCGTGCCCGCTTGTGACCGGAATAACTAAACAACAGAAAGTCCCCCAAGTCTCTCTTCCAGGACGGTATTTGAAGTGCATTCGCACTAGGAGGAGTCTCTTATTTGTGTGGAAGAAGACTTGGAGAGTATTCCTAGCCGAAAATTGCGTAATAGCCCTCTTCCTTATGGTCGCCTCCGGAAGGCAATTGGCCTTATTTCTTGCAAAGTCTTCTTTCTATAGCCTTTTTCTACGACTTTTCTGTGTAGGTGCTTCTATCATCAAGTAGTGGCGCTTGGGGGGCAATTCATGTAGTTGAAAGTGGCTTATTTCTTCTAGCTATAATACTATAGTACGCGTTTGTTAAATATTGCCTCGCTTGGTGGATTCCGCCGCGAGTACGGAGTACCTGTATTCAGAAGAGAGGGTTGGATTGATAAGCGACCTCGTTCCGGAAGGCGGTATCGGGCGGCAATATCCTGCGTGACAGCTTCTCAAATATTAAAGACGCAGACTAAACAGTCTAATCTTCTCTCAGCTACTTTAAGGTAATTTTAATAACATTATACTAAAATGCCTCTTATGGTAGCATTAAGCACAAGTAGGCCCTGTTTAAGATACTTTTGAGTATAAAGTTTAGAATTCCAGCTATTAAAATATTTTTAGTGATGTTAGGTATGGCTGGTGTAAGACACGTCTAAGCTTGGTAGGTTAACTAGTATATTTAGTGTACCCTAAGCGGTTTCCAGTGAGGCATGTGATAAACAGCCTGCTTGCGTTAGCTGGCCGCCAGAAATCGCTTAGCTTATTGACTAGTATGTATACTAGGGATTATCTGGAATAACTGAGTGGAATATATCCCTTATATTTAGGGTGACATGTTAAGTGGTTTTGTGAATTTGTGTTGAGAACCAAGCATAGTACCTTTACAGTGTTTTTTCCCACTGCGTATGGTCACTATTGAGCACCTGTGCAACCTCAAGAGGGACCGCCTTGTATCAGTACCTCAGTTGTGTAAGTTTTCTTAGCTTGTCTTTCTTTCCTAATGTGAACTTTTTTACCCTATGTTCTATATGAACACTATGCCTTCACCACTTTAGACAATAGATACTAGGGCAATTAGGACTTTATTTAACTAGGTACATGTTTATATATTACTCTTTAGATTAAACTCTTTCTGCATAAGTTATACAAGAGAACTTACTAGAGTAGGGAACGGATCAAGGGTACTTTTCTAGGACGCCATAGTCCTTACATTATGGTAAGTGATTGCTCTCTCATGGCTCTTGCTACAATTTGTGAGGCCTGTCTTAGGGATAAGGGGTCTCATGGGACGTTTTCCCGGATTCGGTAGTCCTTACCCTGAGTAAGGGGACTTGACGGGTTTATTCCCGGCACTCCTCAGACAGGGGCCAGTCCAGTGGAATGCACATTAATAACCAAGAGAGGAGGTCTCAATGCCTCATCCACCACTACTTAACACCTTGCCAGTGCCTAGGTAACCCTCTCTTTTACTGCACGTTTTTACTCCCGGCTTTGCTCCTTATTATTCCAATCATTTTCCCCCTCTCAATAATTCTCTCAACGCAGTTCCTCTAAAGTTTCTCGTGTACTTCCCTTCCCCTCAGCCCCTCGGCAAGATGGTCTCACCAGCCATCGTGTCAACAACGCGATCAATATCCCAACGCCAATGTCGCACTATTCTCATCCAGGCGATCGTCGCAACTGTCATCATTGCCTTCGTATTGAAATCCTACGGCCTTTCAGTACGAGACCTTAGCACAACACCAGAAGAGCAGAACGTGGGTATCCCGAGTAGCTACACTAGTGAAAGCTTGCTTGCGCCCGAGCCAGGACAGGGGCTGTCTTTGGCGGGAGAACTTGACAAAAAGCCTGACTTAAACTTGGATGAGAGCCAGTTGCAAGGTATGGAAACAGAAACCGTGGCCACCGGGCAAGGAACGGACATTTGAGCTTGGATGTTGGCTAATAAAGACCTGCTGCCATCCAGAATGGTCCCGTCAAGAAATCACCGGCATTGACACCGGCGCCGATCTCGCTACGCTATGCAATCAGGGGAGTAGACCGTGGAATCCCAATATCATCATCGAGTGCTCCGCACTTGAGGGAGGTTTTGGTAATGTTCGCCTAGACATCTTGCAGTGTCTTCGGTACGTTATCGAGGCCAGAGGTAACCTTCTTTCCCACCATTATACTCTCCCTATTACAACAACCAAAGTACTAAAGTAATCTACGTTCTCATCCAGTATCTATGAAGCTGTCACAAGTTGCTCGTCGAAACGCCGACGATGTATCAGACTTTCGAACAAGCGATCGTGTCGGACTTGAATATTTGATTGATAAATCGCGCTTCCTGAAGACTCTAGGAAAACACTGCCCCAACCTCGTCATACACCCTCCGGAGTACGAGGACGCGCGAATCCGCCGTCTCCCCAACGTTTACCCAGTCGGTGATCTGCAACTCGAAAGCTACCTTGAGCCGTGGCAGGTTCCCGGCAAAAACATGCTTGCAAAGCCCGAACAATGGCCTCCGGCCCTTGATAAGTGGCTAGAATCATCAACAGAAGGGAAGCCGCCGTCGGCCGAGTCCCCGGTGATTTTCGGAATTCATTCCATCATGTTCGGCTGGCCGGTGGCGTATGACCCGCCCTCCATGGCGCGTCACTTCAGTGGGCTTGTACGCCCTCGCGACGAAATCAAGCTTCTGGCCGCCGCAGCGCTCCAGCGGATGCAGGACCAGTACAACGCGCATGTCGACTTCCGGACTAGCGACGAGCCGAGGGTCCGCGACAACGCCTTTATCGGCGTTCACCTGCGTGTCGAGAAGGACGCCACCGACTACCACTACTTGTCGTACGAGAATCAATTGGACTACCTCAATCAGCGGCTAAGGGAGCGCAATGGTAACGCCACGCACCCTCCCGACATGACTCTGCCGGACACGGAGAAGTCGGTGCTCTACGTCGCATGCGGCGACGCCAACAGTATCGCCCGTCTCGCCAAGGATGTTGCGCCAATCACCGTCGTGACCAAGAATGAGCTGCTACCTGAGGACACCTTTGCCGGCGCGTCGCTGCGCAACATGACCTGGGACCAGCAGGCGCTCGTGGACATGCTGATCCTGGAGCACTCAGGCTACTTCATCGGCGTCAGGGATTCAACCTTCTCATGGCATCTGGCATTGCGGCGGGCGGCGGCTGTGAACTGGGTCATCGGCGGGTACCCTGACAGTTGCTGGTTAAACTCTAGCGGCACAGATAGTGCTAACACAAGAAGCGGATGCAAGTCAATGCTAGCGGACAATGAGGAGTGGCGCGACAATTTAAGTAGCTTGGTCGGCAGCGGTCATATTTGGATAGGGCCCGACACTGCGAGGTCAATTTGGCCCTAAGTTAGGGGGTAGAGTAGTAGTACCGGTACAGAGGGAGCTAACAAAAGACCCTGCCCATAATGCCAAGACCGCCGGACCCACCATTATTAAATCCAGCTAATTAGAGCAAGTAGATTTATCCCCTCTCTTTTTCTTAACTAAGGCCACTACTAGAGTAAGTTCTTTATAATAATTCTAATGATAATAATAATAATACTACTTTTTCTACTTTATAACTATTACTATTATAGCCTAAATTACTTTCTTACTTTTGTTAGTATCTATATATAAATTTATGTCTATTCTAAATAAGGTTTAGACTACTAAAAATAGTTAAGCAAGTATCCTCTAAGGTATAATAAGGAAGTAGACAACTTACTTTACATATACATTAGTAAGACTACAAAGATTCTACATTGTAACCTGACAAGCTATAGGTAATATAAGCCTTAGTAGAAGCTAGAACCACAGGTAGTATAGTCTTTATATAGATAGAATAACTAGGGTTAATAGATAGATAACTCCTTAGAACAGAAGAACTATAGTATAAGTTATATAAGGTTATTGCTTGTCTAAAGTTCCATAAAAGTTCATAGCTGAGAAGTCCTAAAAGAATTCCCGAGCTGTCCTGCCATCCAGTCACCTAAATCCTCTTGGCAGTTTTAGGCATAACCTATGTAGAGTCTGGTCCAGAAAGGACGAACGGACAACGCTTGCGTGCGGGCGGTATCCATTGAGAGGACGGCGAAATGGAAAGAGCTAGGCCGATGGCGTGGCTCGAACCTGGATTTCGTGTACTGAACGACGCATCGCGTGATCCGAACCTTAGATGCATGTGTAAGATTATGGCCTTTGGCCTGGAGGAGGGGGAGGCAGCCAGCAATCAGCACCAGTTAAGCTGTTACGGTGTGCAACATAGTATGGAAGGGACAAATGTATCCTGTATAAGTTATAATTAAGCTGGGGCCCGACCTTGAAATTATAAAGTTAGGTGCCAAGGTACCGGTATAGGTATATCAGATGGCGTCTTCCCCAAACGTTACCCACGATCTCCCGCTAGTCTCCGTTATTTGTTAACTTCACACCCGCTGTACACCACCGAATGAACCCCTGTTCCCTTTCCTCATTGCCCACGAATGATTGGTTGGTCCAACAGCGTTTCCAACGCGGCCAAACCACCAACAATCTTGCTCATACCAAGAGAGTAGCTGCAAAGCCATTGATTGCCCCCTTCCTACTAGTCCTTCCTTTCTGTTCTCTTCTTTCACCTCTTGACCCTAAAATCAGCATCTCCACCATGGCAACACAAGGCCTACTACTTATACTGTTAGGCCTACTATATTTAGAAGCGCACTGTAATCTTTATTGTCCATTAAAAAGTTAACAACATCTGATTTTGTCCCTTAGAAGATCAGTCAAGCGCTGTCTACATGACCATAACCCTCCTTAGACTAAGTATGTTAGTAGAGAAGCCCATAGGTCACGTGACCCACCTCTACCTCCTTCTCGGCCAGCCTCTGCCTACTATAGGCAGCCTACTCCTAGTTAGCTTTATATTATAGTTATTACTAATATTAACAAATATTGCCTTACCTTACTGCTTCTATAGTATTATAGGCTAGAGCTATAGTAAGTATAGCAAGGCTTTACTGTCAGGTGCCTAAGGTAGGGGGCACCAGGGGACCACCAGCTGTAGGGCTATAACTAGGAAAACTATTATCTAAGGGTTATATAAAAGCAGAGTTTATAAAAACAAAAGAATTAGGAGAAAGTAAATTAAAAAATAGTTATAATTAACCCTTAACTATACTATTTATAGACTTCTTTACTTAGTACTATAACCTTTTTAATATATTTTAATCTTTATTTATCTCTAGGTGTACTAACTATTAAAGCTATAATATTATCTTTTAATACTTAAGCTATTACTTAGTAAAGTATAAGTATTACCTCTAGGTAATTAACCTTAGATAGTAGTAATACCTAGGCATAGGTAAAGAACAAAGGCCTATTAGTATAATATTAGCTCTAAAGTAACTTTAAAAAAATAATAAAAAAAAAGCTTAAGTACTTCTTAAAGAAATAAATAAAAAAAGCTAAAAAAAGAAAAATAGTTAACTAAATTTTAGCTTTAATAAATAAGGCTTTTATTAAAAAGGTATATAATATACTAGGCTTAGCTATTACTCTTTAGCTAAAGTATAAGTACTACTATATTAATATACTATTAAAGTAATTACTTTAATCTAATATAAAAAAAATATATAAAATAACCTTTAGGACTTTTTATTTAAGCTAAAAGGATAGTTTAAAGTTATAAAAAAAGAATTTAAAAATAACTAAAGTAAAGTATAATATACTAGCTTTATACTAAAAAGTAACCTAGTATATAAGTAATAAAGGTATATTAAAGCCTACTATAATAGCTAAATAAAAAAAGTAACCTAAGAGGTAATAAAGACTTAGTTAAAAATAATATTACTAATACTAATATATAGGCCTTTAGTATAATAATAAAGCTTAATAATATAAAGTAAAAGGTTAACTAGTTATACTAGTAATTTATTAATAAGTATAAGACTATTAAAGTAAAGTACTTTAACTTATAAGCTAAAAAGTAATAGGTAGTTTATATACTTAACTAGTTATTACTTAATCTAAAGAGCTATATATTAGCCTAAGGGATACTAAAGATATAATAAGCCTTTAATAATACTATATAATAGGCTAAGACACTAGCTAAAGCCTATACTAAGAATAAACTAGTAGACTAGTAGAGGTAAAATTAAAAGTAAAAGGACTAGTAGGCCTTAGCTATACTACTAAGTTCTAATATAAAGGTCCTTATAATAAAGCCTTAGTCTATATACTTTATATTTATACTTATAATAACCTAAGGTATATTAATATTAATATTAAAGGCCTTAAGGATAAAAAAAAAAAAAGTAACTATTTACTTTTAACTAGGCTATAGTACTTTTTAACTTACTTTAACTATAGTAAGCTAAAGTATTTATTAACTAGTTATACTAAAAAAAAGTACTATAGGTATAGTTAGCCTAGACACTTAAGTAAATAGTATATAATAAAGGTAATAAAGGTTAATACTATTTAATTACTTTAGAAAAAAAGGCTATACTACTAATTTAAGGTAGACTTTTATACTAAAATAAATAGTATATAAAGAAAAAAAAAGATATTAATTAACTTAAAGGTAAATAAAAACCTTATATACTAAAGAATATTATATATAAAGAGGCTACTAGTAGTCTATAAGGAGAGACTACTACTATAAGGTATATAGAGAAATAAAGCCCTAGACTATAGTTTAAAAAAGATAGTATTAAAAGTAAAAGATAATATTAAAATATTAAAGATATAAAGCTATACTTTATAAGTAAATAATATAAGAGGATATAATATTATCCTAGGGATCTCCTAGAGGTAAGTAATAAGGCTTAACCTTAAGTAAAAAATAATTAGCTAGACTTATTTACTAAATAAAAACTATATTTAACTTATATAAGGCTAAAAGGTAGTTAAGAGGGCCTTAAAAAATACTAAAGTAGTCTTTATAGACCTCTCTATAATTTATTACCTAGGGTATAGGACACTAGAGAAAGCACTAAAGATACTTACTTATATACTAAAGAAGAATAAAAAAGCTAGTAAGGCTAGTAATATAAAGGCTATAGTACTAAGAGAATATAAAGAATAGGCCTATATATTTAATATAGACTTAATGTATATGTATAGTAAGTAGTGCATTATAGTGAGTAGCGCACGTCCACCTTATTTCTACTAGCTTTATCCTTACATTAACCTTTTTCTATGTACAACAATAGAATCCTCTTCTTAAGAAAGCTAAATCATCCTTGTAATTACAGCTATCTAAAAAGACCAAAATCTATCTGTATAAAAGGCAGCCTTTATCTATAATATGCCTAAAACTACACTCTGTTATTAACGCGCTAGAAAAGTTGCATAAGCTAAGACATATTTAAAATTAATAAAGATGACTATATCTAAAGAGGAGGTAATTCTTAAAAGGGTTATTAACCTAATTAATCAAGGATTTCCTTTACAACAAGAAGATATACAAGATATAGCTAATTAACTCCTTAATGTATATAATAGGACATATATTAGACCCTAATAAGTAAAGAACTTTATATAATAATAACCTTAATTAAAAATATAATTTTAACGTTAGATTAACTATTAGAGGGCCTTAGCTAAGGATCCTATAATTATATAAGGCTAGTTTACACTTATATAAAATATAATTATAAAGTATAAGATATAGAATTATAATATC